ATTTATAACCATTTTCCTCGTGTATAGACCTAATGGTTTCCTTATTTGGTAAGTCAATGCCATTAGACTCGACTACTTTCCCTCGCTTCATAACCAACACTGCACATTTTTCTACTCCAAATTCCATACCTATATCATTACTAACAACTCTGACAGACTGTATCAATGCATCTAGTCCACTTTCATTCTTCGCATAAAGTTTGATGTCATCCATGAACATTAAATGATTTATCTGCTCTCCATTTGAACTGAACTTATAGGACGCTTTCATTTTACGCAGTACTAACGTTAGTGGTATCATAGCAATCACAAACATTAATGGTGATAAACTGTCTCCTTGGAAAATTCCTCTGGCAAATTTTACCTCACCAATCGCTTCCCCACAAGATGTCAACATGGTGCTCCATTCCTTCATACTGTTGGTCAGCAAATTTTTTACATTCTCTGCAGCTCCAAACATGTTCAAACATTCCTTCAACCATGAATGTGGGATTAGATCATAAGCTTTTCTATAATCCAGCCAGCCCATTGCAATATTCTTCTTTCTTTGCTTCACTTCCTTCATGATTTTCTTGTCAATATACAATTGGTCTAAGCACCCCCTACATCCTTTCCTTGATCCCTTTTGTTCTTCTGGTAATACATTCTTAGCCTCCATAAAAGAATAAATCTCACCTGCCAATATTCCTGTCAACAATTTCCAGCACATAGCGAGACACGTTATTGAACGATAATTACTAGGCACCCTTCCTTTTTCTGGATCTTTGACTATCAAAACTGTTCTTCCTTTAGTCATCCATTTTGGTACATTTCCTTTCCTCAAGCACTCGTTGAGCTGCAATGTAATTCTCCCATGCAGATTAGTAAATCTTTTCAACCAGAAGCCCTGAACTAAGTCAGGTCCTGGTGATTTCCAATTTGGCATTTTATTAACAACCTTTTCTACCTTTTCCCTGGTAATCACAACATCATTTTGCCTGTCAATTTTAATTTCCTCCTTCAAGTCCTGCAGCCATTCTGCGTTTTCATTGTGCCGTGTTGGTTTGCTCCATATATACTTCCAAAATTCCATAGTTTCTTCCTTTTCAGGTCGTACTTCATTTCTCTCTCCGCCATTCAATTCATCATAGAACCGACTTTGGTTTTCCCGAAACAGTCGATTCTGTCTAAATTGATCTATTCTAGCTTGATATCTTGTAATTTTTCCTGATTTAGCTGTAATCCTTTGTTTTAGTTCTTCACTTACTGTTATGAGACCCTTTTCTTTTAACCAATACTTTCTCTGTAACTGTTCTTGAAATCTTGTCTTAATTGTTTTCCCTTTTCTTAACTCTTCAACTCGGCTTAAATCTTTCCTCAAGTATTTTACTTGCTTCTGCAACCTTCTTTTCCACATAGGTTCTCCTTGCCTCTTCTTTCTAGTGATCTTTACACCTAATCTCTCAGTTGTAACAACTGATGCTGCATATAACAAATCATTGGTCGCGGTGATATTTTCGCTTCTTATTTTACCCAGCAAGCTATTCATCTTTTCAACTTCTATTTTGACAGAACTTTTATTTAGACCTCTCAGAGCAGGTAGCTTTGTCCTTTCAGGTTGGTGTAGTACTTCAAAAAGCCTCTCAGCGATCGCTATTTCCTCGTCTGAAAATTCCTCATCGTCAAAATTTCTAGCACCATTTTCAGCTGCTCCTGTCTCATTATTCTGCTGTACATTATCATCATATTCTATTTGTATTTCTTCGCGTCTGTTGTTAGCATCGCTTTCCACACTTTCACCCTGGCTTTCATCGTCACCTCTGTTGCCTTCAATTGTTTTCTGTCTCTTGATCTCCTCCATCTCTAACTCTGTTATCCAACCCTTCAGTCTTATTTGCCTAACTTGGTCTAGCAGTCTTTGCTCTGATACCTGAGCAAGATTTCTACTTCTCCAGATATTTACCATACGTTTCCGGTAACCCCTCTTATTTGGCTCGCTCGCGACATAGCACTCCATCACTGTTCTGTTATCTTCTCTTGTCCACTGATTTCTAGTTCTACTCCCCACAGTTGATTCCGCAGTAGCATGATATCGACCGAGGCTGGCCTGCGTAGCACCACCACCCCTGCCGGACGCGACAGCTTCACCTGTGGATCCACTCCCGTTGACGTCGTTCTCTATGTTATTTTCAGAATTAATCATCATTTTCTTTTGAAGATGAGGTTGTGGTTTTGCATCACCAACAAAGCAGTATTTTTATCGTGACACCATCACTAGGTGGGTCGCCGACCAGGGCTGAAGAGTCCCCCCTACCCATGAGACAGACTAGCCCCCGCCGGACGCCAACCCGGTATTTCACGGCCTCGGGGAGAGCTAACAGGTAGTATACCTTGCTCAAGGGTGACCTGGAGGTAGTAGTGGCAAAGGGTAACCTCATTCTCCCACGTCAAAACTCCACTACCGGATGTAGTTTTTTGTCATACCCAGGACAAATTATTATTATTATTATTATTATTATTATTATTATTATTATTATTATTATTATTATTATTATAATGATAATCAACATCACCATCATAAGAATCGTTACTTACAACATCATAAAAAAGATATTTTAAAAAGTATTCTATATATCTGTAGTGTTGATACGTGTTTTCAATTAAATCTTATTCATTTTTGATAACCATTTACACTAAATATTGCATCAAATTCAACATTACCTGTCAAGTGACATTTCTATGATCTACCTTGAAATAAGAAAACAGGAGGATGCTTTGGGTTTCCAATTAAGTTAAAATATTACATGAAAAAGTTTAACTGAGTGTACTGCCGTGCTGCCGTATGCACAAGCAATTCTTTGATAAGACTTGCCTTTCTTGATTAAAAACTAAACAACATTGCCTCACATGCAATTTTTTATATTTATTTCTTTCCCAAGGCGGAAGAGGAAAAAGAACGGAGAAAGGAAGAGCGTTTCAAAGAATTGAACAAAAGAAGAAAACTTGAGCAACTGCAAAGAGATGCAGAAAAAAGAGCAAAAGAATTCGAGAAGAAGGTTAGTTTTTAGAAATTTAATAATGGTTGAGACCGGATTGTGATGAAAGCTCATAGTTTTTGTTAGAAATTGTGGAAAGTCATAGATTGTTGACGTCTGTTAAAGTTGTTGTGCGTACGAGTAAACCACTTTTCACACTGGGAAGCATTAACCTGTCTTTCTCGCACTTAAAGGCATTCTGTCTCGTTGTGGATTCGTTAACGAGAACAATAGCTGGAACAATAGCCTAAACACGATTCCAGCGCTCCGCCATATTTTTACAATGCGATAAATTGAAGGGGGACTGGAAACAATAAAAAATCCCTTTGCTCTTATAATCAATCAACGTCGTGACAGATTGCCTTTAAACCCAGTATTGGAATTCATCTCTGAATGTTATTCATGTTTGTTTTGTATAGTTTTCAAAATATTCGAAAGGTAATAAGTGATCTTCAGTGTAAATTTTTTTTCAGAAATTAAACACGTAAGAATTCACAAATTCATCGCTTGTATTTGTAATGATAATAATTGGTTACTTTATTGTGGATAGAAGTCATGAAATACTTACTGAATCGACATTAATTCCCTGTTAAAATCCTATTTTGCAAAGCCCCAATTTGCATAATTAAACCATCGAAGAACATTCATTAGAATATGCTGACAGGTATCGTTCAAAAGTTGTCTCCTATGTTTTGTAAAGGGGGAAGAAAGTGCTTTTATTTCTCAATTCTCTTACTTGCTATGTCTCAGCTCATAAGAAATATATTTCTCTGTTTCTTAACATTCAAATATGTTTTCTAATGCTCTATCAGGCTGTGCGATCGAAATTCAAAAATTCTTAAAAATATTTTTGTGACTCTATCGAATCCACAATTTACACACTTCATTCAGGATTTGACGCAGTTTTTTGTTTGCTTTTTTATTTAAGATGATTCGATTTAATGATTAAATAAAACAATGTATTGAGCATAACTTGGTTTTGACAAAATTTTGAAATTCATAACTGGACGAAGTTCTACCTTCAACAGTTGTGCATATTTTAAAATTTTGATTCTTTTCTTATTGATAATTGTTTTTTATGTTGAACTTTCAACTTTTATAAGGTACCAATTGAAATGATTTCATTTTTCAGCAAAAAGTCAGTAGTGACAGCGAAGAGAAGGCCTTGTCAAAAGGAGCAGGTCAGTGCTTTCGGAATTTGCTTTGTTTGCTACCTAGCTTCTGAAGGTAGTTTTAGGACACTGAAAAAATAAGGTTATCAAGCACAACTCGTGATTTTTACCCCCAGAATTACAGAGAGCTGGACTGAAATTTGTACGACGATAAAGAGGCTGTTTCAATTTTACCTCACACTTGAAAAATACAGATTTGAAATGTGATGAATAATTCTGTTATAAAGTTATCAGAATTTTATTCAAGTCAACACTTTAAGCGCAGCGGCACCGACTTGGTAAAACCAGCATGGTGTTTTAATGAGAAATACTTTTTAAGTCTTGCCTAGGGCATGAAAAATGTTTTCCTTCCTGAATGCGGATGAAAATCACTTAAGAATGGAAAGGTAAAAGGAGAAGGTATCTGGTTCCATCTGTCCCGAGTTTTTTAGAAATGCGAGTATAAGCAACATTTATAATGGTTTAAAGGAGAACTGACACGCAAAAATAAGTTTGGCTAAAACGGTAGTTTGTGACAAGCAAATTCCGGGATCGAAAAAATTTTTTTAATCACAGTTACCGTTTTTCAAGTACAGGCGTTTCAAGTTGAGAAACGACAATTGTTCCGACATCTTGAGACTCGAGGCGAAAATCGTCACGAGTGGGCGATCATCTTTGACGTCACAAGTGACATGTTCTCAGCACGTATTGTGTTTCTCTATAGAAACCTTTAACAAAATGCTGCGGACAAATGTTTATCTTGTGCATGTGAAAGGAGCTAATTTTGCATTTTTGACACATAATTGACTTTTTCAATGGTTTGGGACTCTGAATCGGAGTTTTATTACACTGATTTCGAAACAAATGGAGAGTTTCAGCCGTCTGAATTTTTGCTACCAACCAGCGCTGCCGCTTGGGCAGACAGTTGTCCCATGGCTCAACAGTGACGATGTTATGAACAAAGAACAGACTGGAAGTACAAACTGATATGGAATTTCTATTAAATACAATGCTATTGCTACAATCTAAATGAGATCAGGTATCGTAAAACTAGAATTTCATTTCAGATTGAGGGGTCTTTGTCCAGACTGCTTTGTCTGTATGGCCTAATTCGCTGAAATGGCTATGATGCCCTAAACGGAACTGCAAGTTATTCATTATCAATATAGCATTCTATGATTGTTTTTCCATGTTTCAAACTCGTTTACTGTATCGTGATATTAAATAGTAAAGGCGGGTTGAAAGTCGCACTTGTGCGGATTATATGCCATTTTCACCGGACGTGAAGGTTTCGGGAACTGATAAGTAACCTGGCAGTCGAAAAATCTGGATTTACGAAATAGGCTCTTAGCTATTAGCCAAAGAACTTGATTTCTTAGTCGAAAAAATGCTGTTTAGTTGTCATAGGAATATCCACTGGCGCATTATCTTCTTTTGCAAACAATTTTGACTTGGGTGGGGGATGGTCTTTTTCTAGACTAGATTATTCCCTAGTATCTCAACCTCTGTTAAAATACAATAATCAAGATCAGTGAAATTATTATTTAGTCACACTCGCAGCTCCCATCAAACAAGGTTTTTTCTTGAATTCATATTTCTGCACCCTAAGCAGGTTGCAGGATCGCTTTTACCGCTGTCTCCACTAGATTTCGTTTGTCGTTTGGCTATTGCTTCAACCCCCCCAACCCCATATTGCAGTTTTATTTGTAATTGTAAAAATAAAAACTTTGAAGAAACGGTATCAGTTTTGAAACAAAGTCGATTCCTTTTTTCACAAGCTTTGAGGTTCTTTGAATGTTTCGGAGCATGCTGCTTGGAAGATATCATGGCATAAAAATAAATTTTATGTGGATATTAGCGTCTTATCAGATATGTAGCTAGGATTTTCTAGCTTCTTTATACTTATAAATGAAATGCCTGACAATTTTTTGTCTTTTTATCGCATACTTTTTTCAATAAAACACGAAACTTCATTTGTACTTTCACCGTTGCGGTCAAAGCCTTTACAACGGCATTGTTAACATGTCACTTGTGACGTCAACCGAGAATTTTAACAACTCCTGGCGATAATCTTGTTTCCGCTTCGGGAAATTCCCGAGTCCTGGCTGTGACGTAATTGACGGATAAAAGTGCAAATATCAGAAAAACGGCGAATCTTAGAAGAAAACTTTTTGCAGATTTGAAGTCAGCGACAAATTTTGCATCGAATAAGCCAAAGTTATTTTTGCGTGTCAGTTCTCCTTTAAGCAAGTTCACTACCACTTCAAATTCAATTTCTGTTTTGGTGACTGAAAATTATTCTTTATTCATGAACACTAAAGTTTATCTGGAAAAGGGGCTTAGCTAAAAAAGTAACCTCCTTACTGGTGAGAATATTTGCAGTCAGAATATTAAAGACTACTAGATCATTTTAGGGTAGCTGTTTCCTTTGGGTGATGGGGGCAGGCATTAGAATAAACGAAATTGAAAAATGGGCCTAAAAGATCGACCATGTGACGTCCATGTATCCACGGAAGTTTTTAATAAAATATTGAAAATTTATATCAGAACAACGAGAAGAAACCAATTGCAAAAAGTATAAGAGAAATTTTATTTCAATCAGTTTAATTCACTGTGATATGCAGTATACTGTAGTGGTGTTTGGCGCATCAACATAACAAGAGTTTGTTAGAATTTTCAATATTCTGCAAATTATAATAAGAGTTGTAAATTTTTATCAAACGATAAAATTCAAAAAACATTACCAAGAGTTCTTAGGTAGGAAACCTCAAGACGTACAGAGCACGTACATAAGATAGATTGCGTTTGTCTTCATGTTATTTCTTTTGATGAACATGAAAGAAGGTGCTGCTTGCAAGAGGGTAGATTTTAAAAATATTCTTGCAGAACTTTATTGATGTGAGCGCCTGGTCGCTTGGTCAGGTGGATTTTCATGCCCTGGTCTCCCCACAATGAAATTTGCATTGCCTAATTGAATGTTCTGATTCTTTACTTTTGTTAAAATGTATGAGCCCCAATCCGAAAACTTCAGGAGTGAGTTTAGTTGCGAATAGGTTTCCTAACGCATTGTTTTTGTTTAAAGAACTTTAAGTTCCCCAAAGAAAAAGATCTTGAATGGCAATTACACATGTTTACTAAAGTTAGATAATATAAAGATCTTGGAATTGTTGGAATTGATGATTTTGTGTTGATATTTGCATTTGTGAAGTAAATATTGTAACGATAAGTAACTAAGTTATGTAAATCTTTGATATTAATGAAAAAGGAACTCGAATTGTTAACAAGTGTTTTGATGTGATTCCGGCATCAGCTTTTTCAGGCAATTCGCAGATAAATAAAAACCTCTTTTATTAACAATCCTATTAAAGCTTTTTTCTTTATGCATCAACATTGAAATTATATTTAAAATCCAGCTGAGAGAGCATAACATACTGTGGCCTACTTCAGTCCTACCAGTTTTCAATTAAGTCTCAATATAAAACGGTTAAACTATTTTTTTTCAGAAAAGTCCCTAAAGGTTTACTTCAAGGAATTCAAAAAGGTTTGTGTTAATATAGTAGATTATTTCATCCACTTCCAGTACATCTATCGCACTTCAGCGCAAGGGAGCAATCCTAAACGCAGCACGATATTCCATCAAAATTTTCGCCTCACCCGCAAAACATCGTCCTTGTTTCAAACTTTTCCCAGTACTCAAGAGGCGGCTGTCTAGTCACGTTAAATTCTCTGTTTCCCGATGTAAACAGGAAGTTCAATCTTAGTAAAAAGATTTTCGCCGAATTTGATTTCTTGCTCAAGAAGCCACTCACACTACTATAAGGCGGGGCTGGTAATATTTCAAGTTTGCTTGGTTTTTTAAAGAACCGTTTCAATTTATGTAAAATTTACAAAGGCAGTTATAAGAGCTGCGTTTGTACGGGTCTTGGATTTGAAATGTGTAGGATCCAGTTAGTAGTAATCAGTTAAATAACGTGAGATCATCTGAGTTTTCAATTTCATTTAATTCCCTGCCTAGTGTTGGTACTTTTCAAATGCTTCGTTACTTTTTGTGGCAAATCCTTTTTGGATATTTTTATAGCAGGATAGTAACTTGGTGAATTTATTCCTGAATTTTTTCAGTTATGCCCGAGAAATTCACACTGATAACATTTTGTCAACTTCAGAACCGATGCTTCTAGATTAATGAACATCGTGTTATTGATTTGAACAGGTTTTAAAAAGAAGCTGATGAATTTAATAAGTGATTGATGCTGCTTCGTAATAATGTTTGTTACACTTATCAATATAATTGTTGTTCATGGATGTTTAGGTTGTGGATGCATCCGATGTTCTAATTGAGGTGCTGGACGCACGAGATCCGATTGGCTGTCGATGCTCTGAGGTATGCCTATAATTGTGCTCGCATAGGAGCTTGTTTGATGCCAAAGTAACTTTTAGAGAAGAGTTGTCGTTAGATTGCTATACAATTTAGTTATCTATTTTCCAAAGACTCAAATAAGCATTGTATAGGTTAAGATTGGATATATTGGCTAGGTTTGTGTTAATGAAATATCATAGCAGAAATCTTGTTTTGCAATTCCAGCCACCCTTGTATAGTTTACAGTCAAATTCTGTTAATTCGGACCTCCAACGGAGGCTAGAAACCTGCCCAACTTAGCGAAAGTCTGACATTAGCGAGGTTTTTGGACTTGAATAACGTAGGAATAGTCCAGTGAAATTTGAAGATGAGTTCGACTTACTGAGAGTCTAAGTTATCCAGGGTACGACTTAACGGGATTCAAATGTATATGTTTTGATGACAGATTAACAAAAAGGGCACCTTATTAGATATTATTGAAGGTTTAAGTCTTAACCCTTCCTAGTGTCATGCCCATCTCAAGGAATTATACATTAGTTTGAGATTTAGATGTCAAGAAGTCTACCTCGCCGCCAACAAATGTAACCATCGATTATTGTTGCGGGTATTTTGGGATATGTTGAGAGAAGACCAAATAGGAAATTTTCTATAATCGCATTTATATGTTTTTGAAAATCACAATGTTGATACGCAACTTCGATGCATGCTTATCGATTTTTTATCATGTGCTATAGATCGAAGACATGATTAGAAGCTCAGGAAGTAACAAGAGATTAGTTTTGCTCCTAAATAAAGTCGGTAAGCTAATTTTCAAAGATTTTGTAGTCTGAGAACTGACTGTTTGCCTGTTAATCCGTTACTGATACTGAAATTGGTATGACCTTGCTTGCAGTTTTCTTTCATTTTGTTCAAAATAACCAGTTGACAGGATTGATCTTACACGCAGAAAATTTATAATTCTTCAGTAATAAGCTTTGTCGTAATTTTTGCCAACTTAATTGATTTGGGAAATATTTTTGATGAACCTTTTTTTGTTGTTTTTGTCTTTGTCGTTGTTTGACTGAGTAATTTTTTATATATTATATTTTTTGTATATTATATTATATTTTTTGAAGCTTTGTCTGTGGGAAACGAAGGACTCAAAACTTTCGAAAACTAATACGAAAGATGATCGAAATTAACTTTGGTGGCAGAAAGGAGAGGGAATGGGGAGCAGGTCGATTAGAATAAATTTAAAAGACCTTGTTTTATAAACATATACATATGCATATATTTTATTTCAATTATATGTTATAAAATATTTCCTTGACAAAAAACAGATCATAACATAAACCTGATGAGTGAAATTAATTTGTGGGCCAGCGCTTCTATTGCACATGAAGCAATGCAAAATCCGAAACAGTTTTTAATCGGGAATAATTATAAGCTCTAGGTGGGTGTGGGTGGGTACATGTTTAAGAAATTAATTAGCAGGGTTGTTGTTGGTGTTTTTGCTTTTGTATTTGTGTGTTTTATTTTGCATATGTCCTTTGTATTTTCTTCGCGTTTTACTGTCAATAGTATGTTTTTGTTTAGCGTCCTTTATGCGTGTATTTAGGTTCAAGTTTTTTGGCTTTCTTTTTAGATCTAGTGCCAAAAGATAATGTAGAGAAATGGTTGAAGTATTTGCGAAATGAACTACCTACTGTGGCCTTCAAAGCATCAACACAATCACAAAAGCAAAAATTAGTATGTTTTCCTCTATTTATTATTTATCAAGCAAAGTTATATAAAATTTCTTTGATTGTATCAAAAGTGGTACAAGCAATGGTGACAAGTCGTTTAACATGAAATTCTAGTTCCTTTAAATTTTTCTATAACTTAGTTCCTTGTTCATTTTTTCATAGTCTTTCTCAGCCCCGCTTGGTTTCTCATGTGTTTCTCAGCTCTATAGAATATTATCTTTGGCTCCTGTTTTTAATACGTTTGTTTCTTATATCAAAAATGTTTTTTCCACTTTGTACTTCGGTTGCTTTGTAGAAACGATTGTTTTGGTAGATTTCTGTACTTTGCTGATTTTGTGTTTTTTTTCAACGGTTCATTTTTCCTACAATAAGGGTTCAGTATTTGAATGGACTCATTTAAGAAGCACTTTTAGATTCTTTTCACAGTTTTAGTATCGTTCTGTTTTAGGGACAGAGCAAAGTATCAGTACAAGTTGCTTCTAAAGATACCCTGTCCTCAACAGGCTGTGTAGGCGCTAAAACTCTGCTCAAGTTGCTAGGGAACTATTGTAGAAATAAAGATATTAAGACGTCAATCACAGTTGGAATAGTCGGTGAGAACATTTTCTTGGCTTCTGTATCAAGTGGTATTTTGTGCCCCTTTATTAGGGTAAGGGGGAGGCCCTGTTCATTGATAACCAATTCCAAGTCTATACAGGTCATCTTAATGTCGTTCAAGTCGAACTTCACTTATGTCGAACAAAGGCTCATGCCCTGACGTCTGCTTTCATTTTCCATAAAAATCTATAAATTTGAAGCTTCAAGTTGAATTTTTGCTTCCTTGAGTAAAAATACAAGTCTGAATCCAACCATTCTGGCAAAATTTGATCGGAGAAATGAGCTCTCGAGCATTTTGATCTGGAAGGATATCGTCCTGCTTGATGTTGTTTGTTTTTCACTGTCCTGAAACATGCCGAAGTTCTGCCCTACAAGTAAAGATATTACGTCTTTTTTGGCAGTGTCCCATTTTTCCAAGTATAATATCCTATTTCACAGAGATTTCCGCAACCGCGATGCTTGCTTTGTTAGTTGGTACCCCTCGGACTCTGAAATATGTTTGACGCCAAGGCTAGTACTCAAGGGGAAGGGCTGCCCCACCTTATACTGTGTACTGTTTCCAAAGATATCTAGTCTTTACCCACAAATCCTTCTGTTAAACGGCAAGAAATCTTAATATTGTACATAATTTCATTAATAGTTGGCATATAATACACTTTCTCTTCATCAATTTAGCATAAACAATATATGTTGCTATAAATGTTGTTTTCCAATTACAGGACTTCCCAACGTGGGCAAAAGTAGGTAAGAAGAGTTCAATTTTTACTTCTACAAATGCAACAAACTTTTCTCTTTGTAATCTCCTGCATGATATACAATGTCAAAACAAAACCATTGGAGCACCCTATTGGTAAATTGGTAGATACCTTGGTGAATACTATTTTACGAGGCCCTATTTTCTTTTACCGTGTTTCGTTCCACCAAGCCACATCCAGTCACCTTACTCTTTAGAAGGTAATATCCAGTTGTAACAACCCATGGTTGACACATTAACTTTTAAGTGTAAACAAATAACCAAAGGAATAAGATTTTGTACAAATCTTTTACAGAAAATATTATTTTTTCACGAGTATATTTTGTAGCTTATTTGCCATTTAAAGTAAAAATATTTCCTGTACTATGGTGTCCTTTCTTATCGTATGATGTCAATTTTTGCTTCTCCAACAATGATAGGGTTATTGTTTGTCTTTGTAGTGTTATAAACAGTTTAAAAAGATCGAAGGCTTGCGGGGTTGGATCAACGCCAGGTTTTACCAAGTAAGGCCTCTAACCTACGTTAGTTCCTGCTAAATTCTGATAATTCTTTGTTTTCATACTTTCTTTTTCGTTTTCTTTGCACATTATGCAAGCTTCCCAAAAGATCTTTATGTCCTGAGGCATCGAATGCCTTACTTCTCATATGTGATTTTGACTTAATTTGACAAGTAGAAAGTTATTTGCCTCTGAAGTTTTTCAGCATTGTCGCAGGTTCCCTGTTTCAATATTTTTAATATTTTTATGCACGAGCTAGTATGCTATTTCTTGGAAATTAAACAATTTGACCAGGGTTTTGTTTGACAGCTTGCTGCAATAGAATATCGTGGGAATTATTGATAGATCAATGTCAGTGTTTCTAGTGCATGCCTTTTACAGAATAATGTTATTTTAGAAACGAGCATTGTGTAGGAAAGGTTGAAAACTACAATACCTGCCAAAGGTCTTAGTACACTAACGTCAGTTTTCAAGGCCTAGTTCAGCCATTCCCTTACTCCCCTTAGGAACAATGTTGGTTTATTACAAAACGACGTAGGTGATTAGGAAGTATGTTTTTTCCTTCGACTTTTATGAAATTTTTTTAAATTAGATGACATTGTTTTGGGGGAAGGGGGTTCGGAAGTAGGAATTCTGAAAATACGAAAAGCACAAAAATGCATATTGCTAGGTGTGGCAAGTACTTTTGGCAGTGATTGTATTTGGTTTCTTGCGATGTTTTGTCTTTATGATTTACATAAATCCTCCTCGTTTTGCAGAAACATGCAGGAAATCGTCTTGGACAAACATGTTAAATTGCTGGACAGCCCGGGAATCGTCATGGCATCAGGGTCATCTGACACACAAGTGATTCTGCGGAATTGTGTCAAGGTACGTTCTTACTGATTAGCTCTTATGAAAATCCTTTTAGCAAAAATATCGTTTCATTCATTAGCATTAGGCCAGACCATCATATTAGGCATTGAGTTAGAAGTCGTTACTTAAAATCTGTTCTGTTCTATGTTTTATGTATCTAGAGCTTTGCCTATACGGCGTCAAACATTGTATGGTAGAACAATACAGTTATTTCCATGCTCATTGCCGTTAATTTTGAATATAGTTCATATACTAATTCTCGGTTGATAACATCCATGGTTTACATTTCGGGGTCGCACTGAATTGTGGTCACGTTTCTCCATCTTAAGTGCCAATAAGCTCTTTTTTGTAGGAGTATTGCTCAGAAGAATATTCAGGCTCGGATTTGTCCAATTTTAGGAGTATTAAGAATATTGCTCAGTCTCAGCTTGCATATTTGTGTCTCATTTTCAGCAGTTGCCTGTCTTGCTATGTTCATAAAAGAGAATCGCCTAACTGACATTTCTCGTTTTTCAAAGGGTGGTTTTATTCAACAGCTTCCTCTAAAGCCATATCAGATTTAAAAAATGATATTACTTTAAGAATTTATTGAGGCTCAAAACGAAAATTTCTTATAAATATCAAGGCTTGGAGAAAGTTAAAGTATTCTTATAGAAAAAGAGTGTATTGATGTCTGTAAGCTGATGATAAACCAGATACGTAATTGCTGAAAATAGCAACAAAGGCAGGATTCATTTCACTGTATCACTCAAGACCCAAACGCTTTAAATGTTATTTTGAGCTCTGGTAGTAATATGCTTTGGTGGAAAGTCTTGAAGCTAATTTTAATGTTTTTTCTTAAACCCTTTAAGAAAACGACCCTTTCAGTATAGTTGTTTTCAAGATACCATCCATAAATTCAATTAAGTAAGACTTCATTTTGGAGTTTTCCTAATACTTAGCAGTCTTATTTAATGTTATGCATGTGATCAATACTAATCGAATCAAAAATATCGTTTGCAGTAAGTTGAGAATCGTATAGCTTATTAAAATTAATCTGATAGTCATGATAACGCCCAGCAGTTTTTTGGAAACTCTGCAAGTCTTCTTTTCCAAAGACCCCTTGCCTTTGAGAGAAACAACTATTAGTAGAAACTGTTAGACTGATTTAAAAAACCGAATAGTTACGTAAGCTCTTGAGATGCATCTTGCATCAAATTACCACCGGGTGACAACTTTGCCATTGCAGTGATAGTGAAAAGCATGGAGAAAAGCAGTCCTGCTAATTTTCTTCATAAATTAGAACACATCTGTTAATAAATCGGAAATATCTGTTCACTAGATCGAGCAGCTGAGTGACCTTGTCGTCCCAGTGGATGCTATCCTTCGTCGATGCAATAAAACACAGGTTAGTGTCAAGAAATTGCAAATTTTTTTATGAAAGAAACTTATAATTAGTGAATATTAAGATAAAAAATTTTTTTAAAGGCACACTATTTTAAAGTCATTGTAAAGGATTTAAAGTCATTGTTTTAGCGTTCTGTGACAATTAGTGACCTTAAAACATCAGTTGCCAAACAATAATATCGTATTTCCTCTAAAAGAAGCCGCAGCGTTTATTACAAACTCTAAATTTTGGATGGGGCGTTCAATAGAGGGCGGCGTTTATCAGAAAGAAGCGCTCAATGTCAAATGAAAAGTTTGTCAAATTAAATATGAAAAAAAGAGTGCGACGAAAAAGATAAAAATAGACTTTAACCAATCTTTACTTCCTAAAAAACATATAATAAAGATTATATGAAACATTTTTTAAAGTTCACAAAAGATGTGTTCACGTTATGGCAATATCAAGGAATGTCAATATCCCTGTCTCTGTCAGAGTCCTCGTCTCTATGACATAAAAACTTTCATAGCTTTCGAAAAGTAAGCGTATAAACAATTCGTTACTTCTTGTTTGGTGTGTTTTCTATTGAACGCCGCTTTTCAAGATGCGGCGTTTAATAGGGGGTGGCGTTTAACAGAGGGCGGCGTTTTTTCCAAATGGTTGGCTGAAGGTGCGGCGTTCAATAGAGGGTGGCGTTTATCAGAGGCCGGCGCTCATTAGAGGAAATACGATACTCTAGTTTTAATTAGTTTATAACCACGTCTTCTTATAACCACGTTTGAATGAAGTTTATCAAGTTGTGAAAGTTTGTCACATTCTTTTGCTAGATATTATCTAGCAAATTTTTGTCTAGCATTATTGGACTTAGGATAAAGAACGAAGATGCAAAAGTAATGACGTGCAGATTCTCATGATCGATCCTCATTATTTATCTATTTTTATCCCGTTTAGGCTCTCGGCCTTACCCACTTTTATATCCATCATTGTCATGTCTCCTAAGATATAAAATTATGGTCATGAACGCGAGACCTGATGTTTGAAACCAAAATGGTTTTTTGGTTCAATAAGGCACTAGCTGTCGCTTTTCACAAAAAATTAGTAATAAGTAATAAGTCAAGTTCCTTCTTACTTTAATGCTTGATTAGGAGGTTTCTTGAAAATAAGTTTTTTCCAAATACATTTTTAGATCATTGAGAAGTATTGCGTCCCAGACTACAAAGATGCAACAGAGTTTTTGTCCCACCTAGCACGAAGACTCGGCAAGTTGCGAAAAGGTATGCCTCAGATATCAAGACAAAATTTGATTGTTTGCTTTAAAGATTCTTCATGGTGTTTTTTGCAAGGAGGTTTTTGTAGTTTTTTCTGTTTGGAGTCTTGTAAGACTTATCCGAAAGGTTTAAGAGTAGCTATTCAATGACAACAGAAAAACGTAATGACGTCAGCAGAAGGATGTCTCATGAATGGCCCCTTGTTTTTCATCAACCTGCAACCACTAACCCTCACTGAGTCTTAAGGAAAAAACAAATTTTTCCTGTTAAAAACAAATTCTTTTGTTTTGATATAGACAGAGTATAACCTGCACTTGGTTTTGAACTCTACCCAACCAAGTATGCATTGTAAATTTTTATTTAAAAATTGGTAATCTACCTAGAGAAAATAATTAGGTAAGGGTATAGTACTTGGAGCTAAGTAGGGGTTTAGAAATTGAGGTGAGGGGTGCCCCATTATCTATGTAAAGTAGCCCTCTTCTACCTCTGATATTTTTTGATAATTTTTTTATTTCATATTGGTCCCCTTGTCAATATCATATTAAGAGCCCTAGAAGTACAGCTTCTCGCATCAAGAACCCATGCCTTGCTCATTCACGTCATATCGTCATATTTTTCACCAGTAACATGAATACAAAACTCTTTACAAAAAGTCAGCTCTTGTTATGTTTTCAGGTGGTGTTCCAGATACAACTGCTGCTGCCAAGGCAATCCTTCAAGACTGGAACAGGTATCAAATATTTCCTGAATGTTTTTTAAAGACAGCGCTGATGTTCTGATATAAATGCAGCGATTTAAGGCAACGAGTAATGATTATAAAACAATGTAGTGACCAACTAGGTCTCAGTTAGGATCATTCTAAAGTTGAACACGATTAAAGGCAAAATTTTCAAATATTTAGCCAGACTGTCTCACGATTGCCAGGTTATAGTTCAGTGCGTCATCACACGAAATACAGAAACTCTGATGTCTCCGACCATACATGGATTTCAATTGCAGTTGAAAACTGTAATGCCTTTGATGATCTTATTTGTCAAACATATAGCATGAAAGTACCTTTAAGAAGTAAGAACTTAGTAAAATCAGTAACCATTCTCACTGACATAAGTTTCAAACTTTGATTTGTTAAGAGATTTGAATTCTCCATATCTCCAGACCAATTAGAGTTTAGAAATGTGACAATGAACGTGCCAGGCACTGCCTCGCAAATAGATTAAGGCCTAATTTACACGTTTTTACCAACACCCAGAAAAAAATGATTGCGTAATATTCGTTGAAAGATAGCCTAATTTTTTTTAAACAGTCGATACTATTATCGATTTAATAAAAAAACTACCGTTCTATTCAGTAAAATATTTTCTGCGATCCTTACGGGAAGGCCTGAATTTAGTCGTTCATAACACCTCCTTCCTTCAGCTGCAACATACGTTTGTTGTCGAATTTTCAACTCTGATTGGTCAATAACTTAGTAAAAGTAGTAAACTTAGTATAAAAAAGAAGGTATGAAGAATTAAAGTCTCTTAGCAAATCAAAGATTTTGAATCCATACTAGTTTTATCAAAATTTCCATGCAGTAAATCCAAAGTCATCAAGTTTTGTTTTAACTCGAGTCTGAAGCAGTAAGTTTACATTAAGAGTAAATAATGTTTACCTTTTAAAAGAGCAATTGCCTTTTTCACTTCAATTTCCATACAGTAGCTTCAACACCATCCGTTTCTGCATTCACTCGAATCGAAATCAGTATAGTTACAAATAAATAAAGGGGAAGGTTACAATTTTCTCAAGAATTAATAAGACTGTCTTTTCACGTTTTGCGAATAAGTATGCTTAATTCTGCTTCTTCAGCGGCAAAATTACTTTCTACACCATTCCACCCGAGAGGAAAGTTGACCCAATGCACGAATCAGCGTCGATTGTCCAGTACTGGGGTGCGGAATTCGATATGGTATGTTCATATTTCTGCCTACATTATCAATTTATTCACAACTTAAATTCCAATATACTTTTCCAATTAAGGTATCGCAGAATTCGCAATAGTTGTAGTTATCGATAAAGAGACAATGGTCGGAATGGAATTTGTAGGTTTTTGCCGTTCCTTGGATTTATACCATCAAAACCCAATTGTTATTTGCTCGGTTGACAATTTGGTGTTTAAAACACCTTGTCGTAATTCCAAATGCTGCCATGGCGAGCTTGTCTTGTTTTGTTAGCATTTATTATGATCCTGATAGCTACTTCTTTGTTTATTCCAATATTCACTCTGCTTCTACTGCAAGGTCCAGTTAAGTTGCCTGTCAATTTACGTACCCAATCTCTCAACGTGCCGTTTCAGTTAAAGTTTACCTCTTGTTTATTCTTTTTCCCGCAATTTTGTTCTGCAAATGTTATGCAAGTTTGTTCATTTTTCTCGCAAAGTCATTTCATTTCTTTCGAATTATTTATTAAAAATTATTCTTTAAATGGTCATGTTCGAAGAAAAACTTTGTAAGAGCAATTTATAAAGCTTTGATGCAATTTATCTTGCAGAAAGCAATTGAGAAAGAAGAACAGGAAGATATGAAAGGTTTGGTTTCAACCCTTTATCTTTTCTCTATTTATCTATGTAAGTTGAGTTGAATTACAATGGAAATTCTAAACAGTGTGCCTATGGAATCGGAGCTGTCTGTTGTAAGGATTTATTCTATTTTGAAGTTAGTTATAAATTTTGCCCGTAGAATGTTATTTTAGTCCATATTGTTTGTCTGTTTGCTTTGGCTTCACTGTATTAATTTCAGGAGTATTAAAGTTTAGTTTCATATCAAATAATTTTGAGAACGTTTTTTAATGTATGTTTTTGAATGTATGTTCAAAAAGAACTTCATTTTTTCTTTTTAGAACTGATAAGTGCTTTGAGTGGTGCTTTGGTTTTGGAACCAGGCAAACCTGCTGCTATGGAGGAGGTCGTAGATGAAGAGGAAGAGGAAATGAATGACAGCGATGTGGTAAGGCTTCTCTTGACTTCTCCTGGCTTGACTTGACTTCACTTCACTTGACTTCACTTGATTTGATTTTTTTAATTTTTACTTAACTTGTCTTGAATTGACCTCTTTTGACTTGAATACTCTTCATTTTACTTGCATGCTACAATTCAGGGCAGGCGATGTAGAGATTTTGCACCTTCTTCTCAGTTTTTTGTTGATATCTCTACTATTAAAATTAGTTTTGGCATTTATCTCGTCGGCTGTGACCACGATGCTCTTCAGATTGTTCTCACCCTCTGTCACATTGCTGCTCACAGTTGACTTTGACTTGAGGCAAGACTTCAAGCACAATTATTGTGGAAAACAAAACCCATCTCCTCACTTCTACTCAAGTAGTTTCCTGTTTTCAGGGATAAAGGGGTTTCTCTTTTCGAAAAGAATTGAAGCAAAGACCGACATAAATAAGCGAGCCTTTAGGAGGTGTAGTGTAGGAAGGATTTAAACCTAAACTTACATTGATATATGCAATTGAGATTCATTTCTTCGATGTCGTGACGTCACCGTAAATATCAAAGCTTGTTTTGTTATAGGATTACAGTGAAGAGGAATATTCGGAGGATCGTACCGATGACGAAGAAGACATTGAAGTTGAAGAGAATGAGCCTGCTGATAAGGTAGCTATTTGCAATTTTCATCCAAATAATATGATTTAAAAGTACTGCTGATCATCGAAGTGGAATACGCAGTTTTGCCATTCAAGCCATTCTTAGGGTTTTCCCAGTAAACATTGCCTTTCTGTTATCACAGTTAGCTATGCCAAAATGAGACATGCCTCTTTTTCAGAATTTTAGGCCTAGTTCAGTCTGCTCGCCGTTGAGAATAGAACCTGTGTAAACGTGTTTCACTGTTTCATTATTTGATTACTGATTTCGTTGTATATGACGGGATGTAAAATATTATGAGAAGCAGCTTTGAAGTTTGTTTTTAATGAGGCTTTCTTTGCTGCAGTTTCTTGATTTCTTTCCTCGATGTTGTGCATTTCCTGTTTCTTTTGTGTCTATGAATAGTTTGCTTTTTCCTAGGGCATTGTTATTCAAATGAAAACAAAGCAAAAAGTGCAGAAATTTGCCACCGAGAAAGACGTTGAAATGGCGGAGAACAACGAAGAAAATTTGCAATTGAACAAAGCAAAGAAAAAAGCATTTAAAAAGAAAAAGAAACAGCATCAGAAAAATGGTAAGGTTTTAGATTGAATCACACTAAAACGCATAGAAAACCAGAAAAATTATTGATGCACTAAAAACGCCTTTTCGTTCACAAGTGAATTTGTCGGAAAGATGGGTAGTTGCGATTCCCCTGTCCAAAGATACGTTTTATACTTATTAGACAGTGACTTTAAATTTCATGGACGGGGCAGTCTGAAAAGACTGTGATAAATTCGCGGTTACCTTGATTTGTGTGATGTAAAATACAAAAGAAGTTGAGTGGTGGTAGACCGATTTCATCGCTTTCCATCGCGATCTCAGATGTGCTTTTTATACGTATTAACATACGCTCTGTGCAACCTCTATCCGTTCCTTTCAATTCCAATAAGTTTTCACTTATAATCTTGGTCAACACCAATTTATGACTGGCAAGACATACATTAAGGGAGTACTTGCAGTTTTAATCTTGCACGGTTTCCCACTCTTCTTCTCCTTACATTTAGGATATCTAGTGACCAAGTTCTGATCTGTTCCCTTAATATTGTTCTATTATCATGAAGCTGCAAAAAATTTTCTAACGATGCCGTGCCTACCATTCGTCTTTTTATCCCATTAGCCAACTTTTCTTACGGGCGTTTTTTTAATCAAAGAGCTAATGTTTTGAATTTCTGATGGATAAAAGTTTGATAGTAAACATCCACAGTATGGAATTTGAGTGCATCACTTACCAAAACAGATGAGAGGTGTGATATAGGCTAGCTGTTGGTTTACTTGATTGTTGTTTAGTGAATTTTCTTTGACTTTTGCTAAGAAGTCTTTGTGATGTGTTGTATTTGGATGATTGTGTTGTCTCAGATAAAGCTTTACAAACGAGAATTTATCGGGATGCAGCTAGTGGAAATTTGGGCAAAAACAATTTGTTACTGTATAAGTAATGTAATTACCCTCACCGCCAACCGTTCAGATGACTTTAAGTGTCCCTGGAGGTCTATTTCTAGTAATTCCTTTTTCAGCTGCCAAAAAGGATGCAGGAGTTGCAATGGTGGACAGTGATGAAGATGATTATGATTTCACTGCAGATTTTAAGTGATACACCCATGCTACTACGACCAACGTCCTATGCCTTAAAATTTCTCAGTTTACTCATGTATAACAAGTACTTAAACCCATCACCAGCTCAAAAGGGCTCATCACACGTCTTTGGCTAATTAGTTAATGGTAACTGCTTCCTGCGATTCATTCACTGCGAGCGCATTTATGTCTGCATCATCAAACCGCCTTTAATAGTTTACCCTTGACAACATACCCACTTCCTTTATTTGCTTAGCTGGAATCTTAAAAAGTCTATTGTAGGAGTGATCGAATTCTGACCATGTAATCTGAAAGGAACAACGTACTGTATAATGCTTCCAAAAAATAGCATTAGTAGTGGCTGTGGTGGGGGGGGGGTTGGGGCAAAGGACCACTGCGCCACCTCTGCGTACCTAGAGAACCAAACTTCTCGGAAAATTTCAAAATCTTGCTACTCAAATATTGGCTTAAGCCCCCACCCCACCCCCACAAAAATCTGCTACTCCCACCGCACGCCTGAGCATTAGTTAGTTGTAGTTTAGATAGCCAGGACTGAAATGTATTATAAATGCTGTTTATCTTAGCCAATTCCGGATAAAATAATCATATTGCAGCTTGTATAATCAAAATCCATCAATCCCGCAGTGGATTTTCATGACGTCATCAGTCAACAACTCTTTTCTCCAGCATTCAAGAGGATGTGGCAAATTCTGCTGCTTTAGCGCTATACACGGGTATAAGGGAAGCAACTGGTTTGTTAGCTGCTTTTGAGGGAAATTTTAAAAAGCCACATCCCCTTAGATGTTGGAAACACTCTGAATTGTTTATTATTTTCATCACAGTTGTCAGATGAATTTCATCTGCGGCAGAATTCTTTAAATCCTTTTCCAACGCTGGCAAAGAGAGATTTAAAGATTTATGTAAGGAAACATCTGGCTTTTAGAACTCCGAGTGTTTCAGGACACTTTATCTATAGACGTAGTTTCTCGGGTTGTAGTATGCTGTCCTAGTAAAAGCTACTTTATGATAATTGCCCAACAGCTGCTAGCATGAATCTTTTCCTGTTTGAAAACACACAACGTTGTCTTTCAGATCGTGGCAAGCCACCATCTTTTTTTGTATTCTGTGGCTTTCGATTTAATCCCATTTATGACCTCTTGGTATAGCTTTGTTTCGTATTTTTCTGCTCGATCAAATAAGATAATTCCAGGGTTTTCTGCATTCCCGCAAAAACAGAGTAGATAACATTGAAAAAATTTGCGCAGCTGAATGATGTATTTTTAAGTCAAAAATGCAAAGTTTAAACTTTGTTTTATATGATTCGTTATTCAATTTTTTTTAAGACAAAAGAAGCCGGAATCAAGATTTTTTTCTCATTAACATTGCCAAATATAAAAACTTTTTTCTTCAGCCGTTGTATTTTAACTTTCTCAATTTTTTAGATTGATGTGCTATGCACATTTTGAGTGTCCATTTGCTTATTTGGCCCCCTTGTATCCATAAATCCAGTTCGCATGATGTTTTGGCTACTTTACATACAGGGGCCACTTATTATAACTTGATAAACAATGATAAATCAAAATGGTAAAGAACAATAAAGACATATGACCAGCCTTCTTTCTCTAATTCATTCTCCCCAAATCCTAGTCATGGATGCATTTACAAGGAGCTCATGGTCGGCCTTTGCGTTGTGTCTATCAAGTTTCGAATATTTGAAAATTTATTTTTATTTTTGGTATTTAAGACTTTTGTCAGAATGTTTGTGCTATCTGCCGATTTTAAAGTATAAGCCCCATAGTTTGTCATGTTTTGTTTTAGTATTTTCTTTGAACTGCATTTTTGAACCGGAGTAGCTTTGACCAAATCTGCTCCAGAGTTCCTTGCTGGTGTTAGGCATTGTATTAATCCCAAGAAAAGACCTTGAAAAGTTGAAAAGCAACGGGTAAAAGTAGTATGAAATGGTGGAACTGGTGCCAGTCTAGACCGGCGGGTCCACTCTCATTGCTAAGTGTAAGCACCAGTGTCTTCAATATCTCTGAGAAAGGTGTTCAATTTTGTCATATATCTAGGACAAAGAAAATAGAAAAAGGGTGTATGATATGGGAATCTTAATACAGTATCTAATTTTTCATTGTTTGGCCTAATTTCAACTACTTGATTTCAATAGGAAAAAGGGTATAAATTTTCTTTGTTTTCAAAGAAAAGGGGAATCAAATTTGAATCAAATATCAGAGATATGGGTTAGTTTTCTAGACCCTCAGACACGGGCGCTTACACTTGATAGTGTGAGATGACCCACCGGGCAATCTAGAAAACAGAATTCAGATGTAGCGAGCCTTCCTTTATTGATTTTGAGACAGGAAACCAACTATCTCGAGTATGAAATACTGCTCTTTGACTACCGTCCATGCCTATGTCGGACAGAATTTTGACTCACAAGATATTGTCCAAACGTTAATGGAAACAATGACAATCCATGGAGAACATGCTTCAAAAGACGTCACATAAACGGTGGGGTAACAAAGGAAGGTGTGGGGGGGGGGTATTCTTGCAAGTTGCTGTTTTTCAGCCAAGTATGCCCGACAAGATCCTTGGCTACAGGAGTCACAGGAAGTCGTCACCAGTGTACTGATTCTAGCAAAGTACGATTTTTCACGTAAGGGTGTCAAAGCTATGGAGGTAGGCAATTATTCCTTACCTTTGTCAATATGTGGTGCATATAATTCTTCTAAACATTGATGGATATTTATTGGAAAGAGTTGGAAATGGTTCTCTATCGTGGAATTAGCGCCTTTTGAAGAGTGTCTGTCACTTATCTGTCACAAAAGATGATGTCTCTCCCGGCGCATACCCCATCTCCCCCAGTGTATCGCTGACGTCGTCACTGGGTTTTACCGTTTCGTTCGGTTCTTTCTTTGTGGGTGGCTGTTTTCTGTTGTTTGCTGCTTGCTTGTGTACTATTTATTTCCATAGTGTATTTTTGCTCACTAATCCAGCCACATCCCCATCTTGTTAGCAGGTAGTGTTATTTTGTTTTTACAAAATATGTAAAAGATAAGCAGTAACAAACCTGACGATTTCTTTTGGTTGGCACCCCTGATTCGTTTGGTGTCTTGAAAATAAACTCGAGTTCCCCCCAGAATTAGTGATGGTTTATAGGAAAATTAACACTATGACTCGTGACAATTATTCAATTATAAAAGATGCAATTCCCCCTGAGAGAGCTGGGGGTACGGTTCCCCCTCGTGTCCCCGGTTCCTATATCTGTGCAAAATTTTAAAACTCGTAAATTATTAGTTGTGTTGCTAGAGAAATGTTTAAGTGAGAGGGATGAGCCCCCTAGAACCTTATTATGAAACGCGTGAGCCCCCTAGAGGTTACCATCGACCAGAAGTTTATTTAGGCAGAAGTTATTTACGCACACCTAACAGGTACTTGATCTTTGATTGAAACACTCATTTGTCAAGTGAAATGCCATCAAAATTTTAATAGGGTTTTTAAGCTTTTTGAGTAACTTCAGTGGTATGTGCATTCATGTGATCGCATTTTCTTTCGATAGCTTCCTTTACCTGTCATGTTGTGACTACGTAGGAACCTGCCTCTCCCATTCCGCTCTTGCGGCAATTCTGGCCATATTTGGAAGAAAAATTGTTGATTTGTATCCATATATGGCCTGCCAATTGTTTTGCTTTTCGACTGCTCAATTGTTTTATATCAAGCTATCAAAACGAGGCTTATGGGTGTTTCGAGTCTTTCAAAACTTGCTTCGAGTTGTGGACAGTGTTCAACGCTAGCCAAAATGAATCCTCCGTGTGCCAGGTGTAAAAAGACTGTTTACCCAACAGAAAAGCTAAGCTGCTTGGACAAAACATGGCACAAAGGCTGTTTTACATGCGAAACTTGCAACATGAAGCTAACTATGAAGAATTACAAAGGCTATAACAAGTTGCCCTACTGTCAAGTGCATTATCCGACAACGAAGTTCACTGCTGTTGCTGATACGCCAGAAAATCGTAGATTAGCCAAAAATACACAACAACAAAGCAATATAGTGTACCACAAGGATTTTGAAAGTGAGAGAGGAAAGTATACTGTTGTTGAAGAAGACCCAGAAATTGCTAGATTGAAAAAGAACACACAACAAACCAGTGATCTGGCATACAAGGGCCAGTTTAAGCAAGATGCGCCAGATCAACCTTACAGGCCTCAGGTTCCTCAACAGCAGCAACCTCCACCAGCTCATGTAGCTGCTGCCCCTCCCGTTGCTGCCCCTCCTGCAGCTGCACCAGCCCCACCACCATCAGGACCAAAGTATGTGGCAATCTACGATTATTCTGCAGCTGATGATGATGAGATTTCGTTTCAAGAAGGTGATGCTATTGTAGATGTAGAACGCATAGACGAGGGTTGGATGACAGGTCGTGTAGAACGCACTGGAGAACATGGAATGCTTCCAGCAAATTATGTCGAACAAGTGTAAGATTTACTGAGTAATATCATTCAAATTAAGCCCGGTAACGCTTGCAAACTAACTCTCAGGCTTGGCATAATCTCCCCGTTAACCAGCATGGTAGATTTCATGGCCTAACTCGTATACCAAAATCACGAAGTACCCTTGAAAGCAATTGTTGTTAAGTAAGAATATTCCCACTTTTCTTATTTTTGTGTTGAAGAATCTAATTAGCATTTTTGTTTTCTGAATCAGAAGTGTTGTGCAACAAAGATGGGGTACTTTGGTTATGCACCTAGATACGATTGGATTTCAGATAGCAATATATATGCAAACACGCCCTCTTTTTTGTTACTTGCATGTTAGGTCCGTTTTGTAATCACATAATTGCTTGCAGTATTTTTATAATTATATATGGAATTTTGCAAAGCTATGATTTTGTCGATATGGTAGATATATATTGCAGGGAAGTCGCAGTTTATTTCTTGACGTATGCATATTACTGAATTTCAAAGATATTAAGTTCAAAAAGAGATGTTGTTTTTATGAAACTAATCCTGTTTTTACAAGGTTAAGATAAATGAGCACAAAATTTGTTGTGTTTTAAAGTATTTCAACAAATAAAATTGATGCACTTAAAACAACTTTGAAGGAAGGTAGGGCAGGGTGTTAACTTGAAAACATTAAACGCCTCAAGGTTAATTGGGATTTATAAAATATAACAGTCTTGACAGGGTGGCTTACAGTTTTCTGTAACCACAAGTTCTTCAGTAAGATTACCTCTTCAAAAAAGTGAAAATTGTTGATAATTTTTTTAAATTAATTCACAGTTACTTTACATATTTTGTGTTTGTTTTGATAGGGATGAAAGGGTTGGTTATAACTTCCTTGGTTCAGAACATGATTTGATCATGCTTTTTTCATGCTTAATTGATCCATATTTAGCTGTTTGAATATTATATATATAAAGTAAAAGAAGGTTGGTATATAGTTGTCAATAATGTTTTTTTATAGGTATATATATCAAATATTCTATTTTTGTTTTGAAAGGGATGTCATCTGCTCTGACAAATGGAAGAAAAGTTTATATAGATTGCTTGGTTCAGAACATGATTTTATCATGCCATATTTTTCTAGATTTTGCTGTATAGATAGATGTTTATGATAAAAGAAGGTTGATATAATTTTAATGAATAATAAATATATAATAGAAAATAGGAATGGTGTTATTTATTGGTATATTGCAGGAGAACAGTTTAATTGATTGCTGTGTTCAGAATAAGGTTTTTCATGCTAAGTTGTTTTAGATATTTTTGTGTAAATATATGATACTAGAAGGTTTATATGTAGATAGCAATAATGTGACCTTTCTTCAGAATGTGACACTTGAAGTGACTGCAGGAGAGTCAATTTTTGGTGACAATAGGCTGGAATCAAGTCTTTTAATTTCCCAATCAGAATATTAAGGAAACTTATGAGTTAAGTTGGGGTGGGCAAATGCAAAAGACTTGCATTGGTGATAGTTGAAGCCACTTAAGGTTGCAGTTTTACAGCTACAGTAGCTATGACCAACCTTTGACAAAAAATGGATAATGTTTATGTTTTTATGTTTGTATGAAATGATCCTTACAAGTAACTTGAATTGAAATCTGAAGAAAGCAGCAGATCAACAGACTTATCTTTCTCTTGCACCATAAAGACATGTTTTAATCTTTCTCACTCAATTTTTCTTTTGACAGTGGCAGCCAGTGACATTCATTGAAGCCCCCAGAAATTGTATTGTAAATGTAGATAGTAGGTAGCAGTGAAATTTACTAGTTTACCAGTCTGTCATATATTGCTTGATATGCAGGCCAGTTACTAGCTGTTGGGCCCAAGTGGGGTTTCCAAGTCCCATTGATGACAAAGTTGGTGTGCCATCCTTTATTTGCCATAAAGTTTTGGAAGTTTGCTGACTAAGCAACCCTAGATGGCCAACAACTCCTCTTTTTTACAATGGATTTTTTCTAAGGCAATAGGTTGTCACACCCCATGCTTAGTCACATGTCCCTTAGTGACGTGTCTGGCCATATAGGCAGAGTTCTACATATACTTCTTGTATAGAACCATCCTCTTCTTTACACTATAGCATATGAAGATATATAAGGAAAAAGTTGTACTGATAGGTTGAGTTGGTTTAGGTCTGTTTATGTTTTTAACTTCCTGTTTCATAAGCACAATTTTTGTATTTAAGTACTGTCAAGATATTTTGTCAGTTAAGAAAGAGACTTGGAAGACACCCAGTTCATCTAGTGACCCAGAGGTGACAACTTCTAAACATTGTCACCTGCTATGATCTGCCTTTTGAATTTATCGTATGCTGTATAAGTTTTTCTAATCTTGATAGATGTTTTTGAGGGTAATAGAAAATCATCCCCTTCTTTTCCCCCTCAAGTTTCAAGTCCCAGAGATCAGAGTCAAAACCTTTAGTTCCCAATCTGGCTGTAGAGATATCCACTACCCTTGCATAAAGAACATTATCATATTATATCAAGCACTTGGCAAGGCCTTTATTACTGGATATGAGGCATTTGTTGCATAATATGTGGCAAAAGTAAAGTTTCTTGTGGGATCCTGCTTGATCTGTGTGCCAAAATTTAATTTTTTGCCTGGTTGACTTTGATTACTATCACGATTATTCAGATTCATGGTTTCTAATCAAGAGAATTGGTCATGTGGAATACAAATGTATTGGTTTTGCAGGGTTCAGTTCAGCAAGTTCATTCCTTTAGATTACCTAGCACAAGGTATGCAATGATCTGCAATCCTAATTTTTAGATGGGCAGCTTTGAGATTCTGTATCTGCTCTCCTGAATTCAATGCTTATAAGGTACACTCCAACTTTTAATTAGGTGGGGGTGGGGGGGTGGTGGGTGGCTGAAAATTTTACTATATTTATAGTTTTGATGATTTTTATACATATTTGAACCAAACATTAAAGATCAATGCAACTGATTGTGTAGCACGTGAGAAATTAACATTGAAATAACTTTATTCTGATTAGTATTACTGTTTTAGCTAAAAATGGTCTAGCTGATGACACATATTCTCCCCCTTCTACAAACAAGACAAATTTTGAAAATTCCTTTAAATTCTTTTTCAAGAACAACAATTTAGTAATTTCCTCAGTAATAAATAACTAAGTAATTTTCTTTCGAAACTCTTTCAAAAAGTAAATATTGTATGCGCAGATTTTAGATGCAATTGTGATCTGTTGCGGTGACAATTTCAAGGGGCACATGACTGCTAATTTTTAGAATAATCCAAAGTAAGAGTCATTCAAAAATGCATGAAATTCGTTTCTAAATTAAAAATGTAGCTTTCTATAGTAGTCACCGTTTATTTCAGTACACAGGGCCTGCGCCACCGATTCTGAAGTGGGGGGGGGCAAAAAGAGGGGTTACCTATTTGATACTTAAAAGAGGGATTTGATACCTATAGCTTGCAAGAAAAGTGGAGACCATGGCCAGTGGCAGAAAGAACGGGGTATGGGGGCTCCCCCCCCAATCAGCGATCTCGTCGAAAAATTCAGGCTTTCGTCGGATAATTGACAAACGTTTAACGTGTCGAAATTACTCCAAGAAATCGTTCTGAAATGTATTTTAAGCTAATCTAAGGGGCTTTTTTGCCGCATTTTCTGCTCGCTTCGATCGCAGGTGATTCGCACTTACCCTATTTACCCCAGAAACCTCTTTAACCTCTGTGTCCTTTTTGGAAAATTTGAGCATAGCTGATAAAATATTAGCCAGTACTAAATAATCAAACAAAAAATATATGACAAAATTCAAAACTGCTTGTGAATTGTATATTTAATTTCAATTCTATAAAGATTAGCTGATCTTCCATCGGATTCTTCCTAATAAAAGTTATTTTCGAACGTATTCCCACTAAAGGAAACAAATAAAATGCAGAAAATGAATGTTACAATTGCAATCATTTTGTTATTATGAACGACCTGTCAAAAGTGTAATCGGTCGACCTTTTGTATCATCACTTGTCTTAGATGAGCTACTTAATTATGGCGTGGTCAGCAAAGATTTCTAAAGACTCCCACCAAAAATCACCAAAATTAGACATGATCCACGTTTCCTTAAAATTAGACATGATCCACAATGTTATCTTGTCGGAAAAACTAAGGCTGACAACCCCCCCAAAAACGAAAGCCTGAATTTCCGCCACTGACCATGGCCCCCTGTGGCGCGGGCCCCGGTACAACCCTATTCAAGTAACATTTTTTACCAAATACTATTTATCGGCAAGTGGCCCACCCTTCCTCATACCTCCAACAGGCCAAGATAAGGTGCCCATCTCCATTGTTCCCATGTTAGCAGATACATTACGCCTGTATCTCTGCAAGTTCGCTTTATGAATGTCCTGTGTTTTGTATCAATGTCAAGTATACAATCACATTCGAATAAAGTTTGGCAAAAATAAGAAAAAGACTGCAGTAAGTCAGCCATTGTGTAAAATTATTGTTCAAAAATTCAAAGATTTTGTGTGCAAGATATATCTGAGTCTCTTAAAATATGCCTTACAGTAGGCATCTGAAGGCCGCGTCATAAACACAATAATAATAACATATTATACAAAGTTTAGTAAACAATTCTATCTTTATATACCTTACATACAGTAGCGTAGCCAAGGAAAAGGGATAACGGACGGTGAACCAATATGGAATTCGTTGTATGGACATAATATTGGACGAGAATACTTAATCAAAGGGTGATTTCTATTTTTAACAGCGTCTGAAAAGGCGTGAAAATTGTCCCCATTTATCCATCTATATCTCTCCATCTTGGACATTCACACAATTATTATTTGATTTCTCGTTCTCATTCTATGATTGCAAATTTTGTAGTATGCCAGAGTTCACTGAAATAGCTGTCTGTTCGAATTCCTTGGGAAAATTGTATTAAGTTTATCCCGCTTCCTTCAAAGAAGTTTCATCAAGAGGGGCTTCCAAGAGTTTTAGTGGGCTTGACCACTGTTTCTAGTATCTGTGGCTATTATACATACGGTAAATACAATCGAAGTAACGATAAGTAATGTTTTGGCAATAAAGTTGTATTAAACAAATATATCCTTTCGGTATATCAGAATATACAGGTGCAAAAGTGCCTCGTCCTTGCTTTGATCATCCACCATGTGCTTGCTGAATACAGAATAACTATGAGTGCCGTTTTTATTAAGCAGTTGTCGATCGTTGTGCTAAAATGGAAATGAAACTATTTATCAATAAGTGTTTTGCCTCTGCAGTTTTTGAAGTTTAGATCGGGGGGGAGGGGGGGGGGAGGGGAGTTGAGGTGGCACAGAGAATGTTTAGTTATTAATGATTATCCTTATCTGTTATCAGAGTGAAGATATCAGTAGTACAAACACATAACAACTTGGCGATCCTTGCGTCAGTTTATCATCCGAGATGTTCTACCAAGCTTCGCATTCATTTATTTTCATCGAAATTTCAAGATGGCTTTTGCAACAGAAGAAAACCTTGCTTTTATACTAGAAATACAACAGTACGACTGCCTTTATAATAAGAATAGCCGGGACTTTAAGCACAAGTTCAATAAACTGCCTAAAGAGGTAAAAACTAAAAGGCACCGAGGTTACGAGGTTACGTTTTTATTGAATTTTTCAGAGCATTGGAAAGAAGAGGTCTGTACGAGTCCAGATTTTATCCAAATCTGCTTACTTAGGAAGGCTGGTATGGTACCTGCCCTTCCACGTGCTAAGAATTAAGCAACTCACAAGCAAATTTAATGGCTGAGACTTCAGCTATTTCACTCAACTTTTAAGGTTGGTCCCAAGTCAAAAAAAGGAATGGTCGAAGTATTTTCTAGATAGTTATTATTTCCATGGTTTTGTTACTTTTACCAACAGCTAAAACAACTTTCCGTTGATTATTGAAAGGAAAACATATAAAATAGAAATCGGAAGTGCAATGAATTAAGACAAAGAAAAAGAATTATCTTGAATGGAATTTTTTATTCTTGAGTGTAGGGCACAAGTATTGCACGATATAATGATTAAGACTTTTGAAATACAGTAAATCCTCGAATAAGCCCCAATTCCGTATCAGGCCTCCTTTGAAAAAGCCCCCACCTAAAAATTCAGATTTACAAATAAGCCCTTCTCGTCGAATAAGCCCCCATGGGTATTATTCGAAGGAGGCATTGGCAGCTTACTAGCCTCCCCCACAAATTTCATACTCGATACCCGATCACTCAAACCCGAATTTCGAAGTAAGCCCCCGTCCTCGAATAAGCCCCCTTCCATCGAATAAGCCCCAACTGAATAGTTTTGCAAATAAACCTCCGGGGGCTTATTTCAACCCTTATTATTCTCTTGTTTGTGGCCGAAAATCAGCTTGTTGAGGGGCAGGCACAGATTTCTTCTATGCAATATTAATTTTGTTTGAGAGGTAAATTTCCCACATCTCCCACAACTTATTTCACTGCTCCCCCTTTCACGTATATAGCAACTGAAGGTTTGACGAACAAAGCCTAGAACTTGAAAATTTAGATTCTAAAAACGAAAATCTAGGTCCTATATGTATGTTGTTTAGTATCTAAATTTTGCAGTAAAACAAACTCACCTCTTCTGCTGCAAAACACGTTCATTTGTCTAGAGAAAAGATTGATGCATGACAATGAGATATTAAGTAAGATTTGTTTATGGTTAATTTGTGGTTACAAGATGAGATAGGAGGCATTTCAAAGAATTCGAGAAAAGATCCTGGAAATGAAAGTCAAAATGAGAAAATCTTGAGTGCTATGCCAAGGAAGAGACCCAATATTATGACATATCGAAGTATCTGTCATATCCTATTATTCTAAGTAACATAATTTACTAGACCCAGTTCCCCACATCCGGGACTTTTGTAGTTTGTGAGTGATTAAAAGATGGCCTACATACACTTGAATTACTAGTTGTTACTACAGGTCATAACAGTATCATTCCCCTACTTTAGGGTCTAAATTTTGCTGAGTTTGAAATATCCAGATAGGAAGCAAGGGGTTACTCATTAGGATGAATGGAAAACAGTTTCAAGGCGTGATAGTTGGACTATTTAATGAAGTTTATTATCATATATTTCTTAGCGTAGAGTTTTCGATATATGTTCTGACGTTTTAAACTCTGAAGAGTGTCAGACGAAAAGCTTTAGTTTACTAAATGTTTGCTTTTTTCAAAGCCATTTACAAGTTTTGTACCACCAAAAGATTGTTTGAAGTTTATTATATTTGTTTTATTTTATATTGAATGTGACTATAACATGCATAAACAGGCAGCGAGAGAGTTTTTTGTTTTCTGTCTCAATTGCGTGATATTTTTGGGTTTCTAGCAATGATAGTCCAAGCTAATTTTGCATATGATTAGGGTCTAGGGGTTAATTGATAGTTTTGGATTGCTCATAATTACTCTAGATTGACTGCTCGTGACATTTTAGTGCTGGAGAGGACAAACTTGCTTTGTAGTGCAAGGTTGTTCTTTTAGACAGCAAGAATTTTTCAGAATCTTATCAAAACATATATGTTTTCAATCAAACTTCATTAGCGTAAATGAATGGAAAGCATGAGCATACAGGTATCTTGATTGGAGAAGCAAATAAGTGAAGGTTTGCTTCCAAAGCCATTACAATCTTTATAATGAACTTTTAAGTGTGACATAAAACATATTGTAAGAAGTTTTACTTTTGACCACATAACCTGAAAGAACATCATTGAATTCCGTTAACAAATCCAAATTAGTTAAACATGTTTTAAATGGGGCGAGATCTAGCCTACAAAGATTTCTGCAATATTGGCTCATTTGTAAGCCATTTTCTTGAAGAAATGATTTGCTTATGGCGGCCCGTAACTTTCTAAAGCTTAGAATACAGGGTATCAAAAGTTTTGCACCACCCTGCTCAAAATGGCGGCACTTTTTGTCGACTTTTTGACAATGCAAAAAATTTGAGTGCATTAATTGGGTGAAATAAGCGCATTTTAGAGCAAATTTTGGCGGGAAAAGTTTGCAAATCTTGCTGATGCCATAGAAAACTTAGTTAGAAACGTATAAATTACGCAAAAACATTTTTATCTGTAAAAATGTAGCCTATGCCTATGGAAACAAAATTGTAAAAATGAGAGGCGAGTCGCTATAAAACATTTACGAGGAAGTGGTCTTTAATTTTAAAAAAAATTGCTGACCAAGTTAGATGCAGCTACACAACAGCTGCGGTAAATCAAAAAAGATTTCTCGAGAGTGTTACAGTAGTAAAGAGCCGAGAAATGGGCGACCAAAATAAATTTGATGTTAGAGGGGAAAGAATTTGTCTGTTTTATTTCACTGCGTACAGCACCAAGGAGCAATAAAAGGCTTGAAACTCAACAATGCGGAAGGTTTTGCAGCTCAAAATCCGTCCACAGAAAATATAATGAGTGTTTTGCACAAATACAAAAGAAAAGGTTACCTGAGTAAATGGAAACCATTTTTACAAATATTTATTTCCATACAAAAAAAATTAAATTTTTGGCATAGCCAGAATCAAGTCCAATCTTTAACATCGCTAAAAAAGTTTGACTTCAAATGAAAAATGTTTTAAACCGTGATCCAAATGGTCGTCCAAAAGCCAGAGAATCATTATTTGTAAGAATCATTATCCAGGCCTATTGCGAAATTCCACAAGAATACGTTGACCAAATATGTGGATCCATTTCAAGGAGGCTTTTTGCAGTTTCAAAAGTTTGCGGCTACCCGTCAAAATATTGAAATTTGAAATTGTTAAAGGACGTTTGCTACTGTTGTTTTTTAAATAACTGCTCTAAATAGATTAAAGTTTTGATTGATGGTTGTTTTGCTTTCGACCAATTGCCATTGGCCCTCTAAAAACAGAATTAATTTGCATAACAATAGCTTTCGATCATTCATGCGCCATTTCTCCTCCTTCGAGGTGGTGCAATACTTTTGATACCCTAGTGTATAATGTAGGGTCTGTGAATATTAAAGAGAGCATGGGCAAAGGATGCAATTTAAGGCATGCCATGGGTACCAGAGCCACAAAAATTCAACGACAGCAAAAAATAATCAGATATACCTTGCTGCCGTTTATTTTTGCAGCTCTGGTACCCAGGGTTTTAAAGCCGAGCATCCCTTGCCATTCCGTTACAAATTGAATGATATTTGCAACTCACCACTATTGTACATAAACAAAGCATCCGCAGGAGTGAAAAAGTTATACCATACAGCAAAGTCATCAAGATACATTTCAAAGTTTCCACGTCCAACTCTGCCAAACTGGAGATGGGTCGACTTGTCACCTGATGTCCCCAAAGTTGTTGTGCTCTATTTGCAGAAAAAAATAAGCTGCTCGATTAGTTCCTTCCCTAACCACTAATTCTCCACCACTTTTGTGCAATTTAGACGGAACATTCAATTAATACATGTCATACCTCTTGCTTAAGTTTACCACCGTGACAAAAAAGTAATCTTTCTTTTTAAATACTTTATATTGTGTAAGTTATAATTTTTGTTGACATCCTTCTCGCAAACTGTTCTCTGCCTTCCTATTGTGAAATATTTACATTTCTCATCAAGAACTTGTTACTGTTGTTCAGATACCTAAATCTATTTTGCTCAAAATTTAAAGATTATCATTGAATTTTTACCTTTTATCCATACTGTGTTATGTACAACATAATTGGATATCGCAATTTGTTTAGAAATATGAAAGTATCATTTAGATCATTTTAAACAAAAGTAGTCCTAGCTCAGATCCTTGTGGAGCCCTCTTGATTATGACACCCTATTCATTATCGTTAAAGCTATTCACCCTTTTTTGTAAGCCACAAGTGAGGGAATACTATTTATGTTTACAATAGTTTATTAAATATTTATTTTACGTTTATTTGAGTATATTTTCATGAAGTTCATGATCAGAGATTTGTTTATACAAGACTCATTCATGATGTTGTTCTGGTCTAAGGTTTTAATTTTATTATGAAGTAATTTTTTGAATATCGGTTTTTGAATTAATGTCATTGCAAAATCAGTTAATTTGTCAACAATTTAATTTACTTTGGAATGTAGAAGTTGCTTTGATTTGATTTAAAGAAGAATTTTTTTTATCACAAAAGTATTGAAATAGTTTAAGCTAATAGCTTCTTGACATTGTTTTATTATTAAGATACTGTAATGATACTGTAAGACATTGTCAATATTTTTGTTGTCAAGATTAGTTTGCAAAATAGAGAAATTCTCAAAGTAAACTTGAAAATGTGAAAGAGTTAGAAAACGGTCTATTTGCAAGGCAATGACCAGATAGCTTTTCTACACCCTTTTCAATTGGACGTCACCAAAAGACATCCCAAATTGATATTCCTCAAGGAGATGACTCCAGAATTTACGGTTCTTCTTTTAAAAGGCCTGTCTTGCTGCGGGTATATGACAGATAATGCTTCATGTTGTTTGCGAAGTGCCATAAATAAACCAATTAATCTTACGGGCTCGTTTTGAAAAGTACTTCAAACTTCATTGTACAAAATTGTTGAGCTAAGATTGGGATGAAAGGGCATATGTCCCGTTAGCAGATCGCTATTTGCTAATAAAGCCAACAAAAATGCAGTGGATTTTTATCGTTGTGTGGTTTTTCATTTCAGATTCACGAAATTTTACTGCCGTGAAATTCATCCTCGATCGCGTGCTATGTACTAAGCAAGAAAGATAATTATATTGCATAAGCCAATCAGGTTCACGACACATCCGCTCCACTGACCAGAATTTTGATCTATTTGAAATTTTTCTTGATTTTGTGTTTGAATGAAGGTAAAAAATTTTACCAGAGACTTGAGAGTGATTAGCAACAAAGGGGAAGATTTTTCACCTTGAAAGAGATTTCCAGTCAAGTCCCGGCGGGTTCACTTCTATAAGAATCTATATACCATGCGAGTTCAATTAATGGATCTCTACCCCCTTATCTCTGACATAACCGGCATCGCAACACACCCTTATCTCTGAAAATTTGGGTATATTACACCCCTTTTCTCTGACACAAAGAATTGTTTAATTAAATCAGCCCCATCAACTTTGACAATAGATTTGATAAAAAGTAAAATGTAGAATATATTTTTGAGAATCACCCTTTTTTTGAAAATCTATGTCCCAGTTGTGTGTCAAATTTATGACCCTTTCTCAGAGATTTTTTGAACTCACGTGGTGTATAGGGTCGCATGGAAGTGAACCCGCCGGGAGTCAAGTCCATTATAAGTTTCCTGACTTCATATCATCACAAAATCTAAAATACAAACGCAAACAATATGGGAAGTTGTATTTGGTCTAAATGGCGGTGCGGCATGGCGGTGCGGCATGGCGGTGCGGCACGGCGGTGCGGCATGGCGATGCGGCATGGCGGTAAATATTGATCTGCGCTCAAAAAAGTGGTACAATGAAGTTTGAAGTAATTTGAAAAACGGGTCCTTTAAATGGCTCGTTCTCATTCCATTGGGCTGGCTCACCTGCGTATTTTTCTTCCAACGTAATGATTTCTGGGGATTTCCCGGGACTTAAGGATCCCCGTTAATAGCTCAATTCGTTTAATATAACTCCTTATTTAAAAAAATGTTGTAAAAACCTTTTGTTGTAAGCGTAAATGTATTAAAAGTAGAGGTACAATTTTCGAAATAGAATGATAAAACATTTTGAACATTTGAAAAATTAAAAAATACTTAAAAAGCTGAAAAAATCTGAAAAGATAATATTTTCAAATATTTTTTATTTTTCACACTTAAATTAACCATATAAGTTTGTTTAGTTCCTGAATTTCTTTGAAAATCCTTCAGTTAGGACAAACTAAATTAGAACGGATTTTTCTGTTTCGTACCTTAGTTCTTTAAAATATTACTACCAAGGGCCCTCAAGGAATTTATTCCTAAATATTCCTTTGATGTTTACGCCGCTGGGTAGTTTATTAATATCATAATAATACTGCACACCGTACCGTTTGTTGGTTAACTTTCAATCCGTTGTAATACAAAAAGAGACCATTCGACTTTTGATATGTAAACATGAAATGATTCCATGTTTTATGTTTTGATTCTTGGTAGGTATTTCCCCAGAGACTTGAAAGCTTAGTAGTGTCGTCCCTGATCCAAACTTTCATTGCATTTTCTTGGCATCCGCTAAACTTTACAATAAAACCATTTTCCAAATCAATATCATTGCAAGACTGCACAACTATGATACTATTTGTCGTGCAACTTGTTGTATTGAACCTTTCTTGGCTTCTTTTGAAAAGTTTAAACCAGAACGATACCGTTAATCCATTGTTTGGGCTAGTTGCACAGGCGGTCATGTCCCTGTGTAAAAAAATTGGAAATGTAAAACAAGGTATCTGCCAGATCTAGAAAATGTTTGATGGCTGTGTTAAGATAGGGTTTAGGGGCTGGGGGAATGAAAATATTTTGAAAATGAAAACATTTGAAAAAAGCTGCTTTCTATCATTTTGTTCCAAAAGTATTGACGACATGAGCGAACGGGAAACTTCTGAACTTAACAGCTGGAAAGGGCATCTTCTGTAGTGGCCAGACCAGTTTACACGGTGCGTTTTTACATTGCGTCTGATTCATGAGTCAAAATTGCATGAGTTTTTGACTCGCGAGTCAACACGTTTAGACGATGATTTTTTGACTCACGAGTCATTTTCATTCCAAAATAAACCTCACGCAAATTATAGCACTAAAGCAGGCCAAGCCCGTAGCCAGGCATGTGGAGTAGGGGTGGCAAATCCCCAAACCTGTTGCAGGCAGACGTCTCAGCAAGTTTTTTTAAGTTTTGCTTAGCAGCGAAAATTTTTTTGAGCGCCAGGCACCATCTTAAGAGGCGCCAATAAACATAATATATGGGTAATATCTGGATAATAAGAGATCTAAATGAACAATTCTCTTCTCCAGGGGTGGAATTGCCACCCCATGCCATCCCTTACCTACTGGCCTGCCCCATAAGGAAAAAGGCTGTAGTTTGCCTCCAAGTTACAGGGTTAGAGAATTGAATAGAAATTTTATAGAAAAACAAGGTTTTGCATTTGATTGTTTGGCGAGACCAACGCGTGGACCACCAACTAAACCCAAATCTTTTGCAACTCTTTTTTCGGCTACTTGGAGTTCATCCCTATTGTGATACGAGGGGCGATACACTCTTGCAAGTAGCGTACGATATTTTGCCTAAAACAAAAGGATTTCTGGGGATTTTCAGAAAAAACAATAGAATTTTCACGAAAGGTGTACGAGATTTGCTTAGAGTGATTTGCCCCTTGTCGTGATAGACTTCTGAAAGTACATCTCCCAAAAGCCGCTTTCTTTGCTAGTTCTATATCATTTAAAGATCCTTCTTTGCTTTGAATATCCATGTTTTACCCGAGGGGCAATTCACTCTTGCAAATAGCGTACGAGATTTTTCCTAAAACAAAAGGATTTCTGGGGATTTTCAAATAAAACAATAGTATTTCCATCAAAGGTGTACGAGATTTTTTGGAGTGATTTGCCCCTCGGTTTTACAGGCAAACCCTGCAAATCGCTTCCAGCGAAACTGCCCGTTTATAACCCTAGATATTCGAAGCATGTGACTCATTCTTCTTAGTTGATTGGTTAATAGTGTTAATCCTTCATGCGTTGTCGCAAGGAAATAAAACATGTTCTGTTTTCACAAGTCGTCGCAAGGACAATTAAATTTAGACGCAAGACGAGTTTGATTTTGCAATTCAATGCTTGCGTTTCTGCAAAGAAGGTGTCCCTGACTCTGAGTGCAAGGCAATCGCCGAGCCATATCTTCCATTTCCATCCTTTCCCTTGCAAGGGAAGGCTAAACACGGCTTCAGTTGTTGCTTTTTATATTTACTTGTTGTTATACTTACATGATGCACTCTGAAGAATAGTCCGTTGTGTAGGCATGAGAGCCTAACTCGCCAGGAAGGTAGAAAACAGTAGCGGTCTTGCTTGGAACTCGTAAAACTGTAGCTTTGCCTTGCGTAGTAAGAGCGCGTGATATGCTGCTTTTAACATCTCTTGGTTTGTTCTGATTGAAGCTGAATAGGACGTCACTCGAAAATTTCCCAGCTAGAAGAATGATTGAACTAAACATTATTTCGATCAGGGGCGGATCCAGAGCAAATTTGAAATGGAGTGGGGGCGCTAAAAAATTTGCAAAAATTAATGACAAGAGTTCGCTGTATACAACAATTTCAGATCCATTTTCGGAATAAACAACATAACTTTGAGGTAATTCTTGAAGCAAATTAACTTATCGGTCTCAGAAACTTTTTCACTTGATTCTCATTCTTCAAAAGGGGCGCATAATTTCCAAAAAAGGGGCGCCAGACTTGCTTAAATTCGTCGAGGGAGGGGCAACTGCCCCTAGTTGCCCTCCCCCTTGAATCCGCCACTGCTTTCGATGAAGCCCATCAATAATGACCAGCTGTGGTGGTCAATTTCTTAGAAATGGTTTTGAAAAAAGCAAACCATTTAAAAAAACAATTTTTAATGAGCAAAATTTATCTTTATTTGATGTAAATGCTGACTGCTTTTTATTATCGATCCTAAAGCAAGAAAGTACTGTGAGATAAGCTGTAAAATAAAAAGAGTTTTCCAAAGTCCATTAAATGTTGAATCTATACATTAATATATTACTAATGCAGGAAAGTCTGAGTTCCAAAAACGGATCACAAGTAACCTTCCCTCTTCGTAACTCGAATTCTCCCTTGCAGTGGCATAGCCGCGGCAAGAGAAAGCTTCTGGCAGACGCTCCCTAATAGCAAAAAGTCTCTTTGAAAATGTGCATTTTCTGAAGTTCAAAAGGATGTACCCTGGGTGCCAGAGCCTCGGAGAGTCAAAGGATGAAGAACGGGGGAAAGGAAATGCGAAGGAGAATGGAAGAGGAAAGGGCACTCATCTTGCCCAACCCCCCCCCCCTCCCCAAACAAATGGTTACGCTACTGCTCCTTTAAAGTACAATCTAAAAGATAATGCATTTAATCTGTCACCTTTTCTTATTCCACAATTGGTACCAGAGATCTTCACTGTATTATTGCTAGCAGCACATGCGCACTGATAGGAATTTTCCTGGTCCAAGGAAATGCAAGTACCACCGTTTTTGCATGGATTGCTTGAACAAGGACTCTGGAGGTAACAAAAACAAATAGCCAATAAATGGATGACAATTGTTAACATTTGTAGCAAAATGGCTATAATAATTCTAGACCTTATACTGCATGGATTTGGAAGAATGATAAAAAAATAAATATAATGAACAGGACCGATCAATGCCAATGCTAAGAACATATTGATCCTCGAACCTTAACTTCCTCAAAGCACACATCTTGTTACCACAGAATAATGATCATATTTTATCACAAAATGTTAGGATTGGGGAGTGCGCAGAATAGCATTGTAACTGTCAACATTTGAACAACATCAAAAGGTACAGGATGAGTGATTACTTGATAAAAGTCTTATGATGTCGATTTTCCAAATTTTGACATCAAGCCTGAGAGGATATCTTTAAATACATCAGGCAATACATTCTTTACAAAATTAGCTGAAACTAACAACAAATCGACTGATATTACTAATGAAAGCCTTCAAGATTGCCAATAGATAACTGCTTATTTGCCCTTAATCATATCTTAAAGAACCAAAACCAGATTGAATTGATTTGAAAAGAGCTTTTGCTTATGTTGTCATATCTCAGTCAATTCAAGACATACCACAAATCTTCGAATTGTGTAAGCCCCCCTTATGTAAGCCCCCTCCAGTTGCCCAAACCCTGGAAGTAATGATTGTTAATAAGCCCCCATCCTCAAATAAACCCCTACCTAAACATCTCAATTTCAACAAATACATTGTGTTGTCCATGATAAATTATATATTCCACGGATGACGACAGACTTCAAATATTTCAAAAATGCTTTCCTGTGGAACGATTTCAAAATCGATATTTATTTGCACAATCTGCCGTTCCACAAAATGTACTTGAAAAAGAGAAAAATGCTTTTTATAAGAGTTATTTTTATGCCAATTTTCAGATAACTTTCATAGGTCCCACATCACTCCACCTGACATAATTGTCTACCTTCGAACTTACCTCCACCGAATAATATTCCAAATCAATAAGCCCTCAACTTGAGGATGCATATATAAAAAGGAGTTTGTTTGTGTTCTATAACGTCATAAAATCCCTATATTTCTAACCATGACATTATCAACTTTCGTCCCACAAATGATTTTACCAATTTTGTAAAAAATAGCAAATTTATAATTAAAACAATTTTAACGAATACAATTAACAATAAATTTTATACCTGGCTGTAACAGTCCCTAGAATTCTCCCTATGCACAATGAAAAGAAAGATGAATAGAAGATTTAATATCTTATATTCAAAGAGTACTAACAAATAATTCAAATTCAGTATCAGAGGTGCTCAAATTCTTTTGTCTAGGTGGACGTGTCTAGGTCCACCTAGGCGGATGTGCCGAGGTGGACGTCGAGGTTTAATATCCAAAATATCCAGCAAATCGTAACAATTTTTTGCAATGTGTTCTCCGAAGAGATAAACAGGGACGCCGGAAAGATCAAGGGGCAAAGAGCCAGGCTTCAGTAAAAGGACATTTGAAAAGTACGCCTCAAATATCAACAATTCCTTTGTAAGTGTCATTTTGTTCCGACCTTCTGTAGGTATCTGGAAAATCGACTAAATTTTGGCATAAAAAATTCCTTTACAAGTTTTGAGAAAGGTCGTCACGAATAAAGCATTGCAGTCAAAAATTTCATATGAATCTTTGATAATTACAAACGGCTGATGTCAAGGGCACTTCTATAAAAAGACACTGGCCCCCTTGCCCCTCCTATCAAAAGGGAACAGGGGTGGTTGACCCCGCGCGCCCTCTTCTCTGGCGTCCCTGGATATGAATGCTTGAAATGACTTTATTTAGTTGATTTTCCTTTCCTTGAAAGGATATGAAATCACGTCCCATATACAAAAGTATTCGAGTGCCCTCTCTGCTCGGAGAATCTTCTTACTTTGACAAAGAAATGCTTTGAGCCAATTCTTTTCTGAAAAAGTGAAGCATTTGACCACTTATTGGCATTGATTAAGTCACAGGAAACGCCGTCCGGGCTAGATGGCTGAAAATGGTTACCAGATTGGCATCCGGGTGTACGGGTACATTCTTGCATGCATGTTTGAGTTGAGTTTGCTGCAATGGTTTTAATAGTATGGTCTATACTGTTCAGATACGAGTCAAAATCAACGGAGAACGACCTGTACTTTATCTCTGCAGTGTCACAGTACTGCTTGTTTGGACATGAACTGGCATTTACCAAACTTTGGCAAAATCGAGCAAAAGCTATCAACCAAAAAATATTCGCCATCTAAAAAATGAAAAAGATTGTTGTCGATATTGACACAGTTATAAAGATCACGTTAAAGATATAAACAGTTACGAAATATTTAATGGCGGTGTACAGGGTGGAGTGGGGTGATTAAGATGTAGGTGGTCACGCCCTCGCAGTTCGTGGCATAGTCGATTGTGTATTCGGTCAAAATTCGACGAAAAAATGGTAGAGGAGGGATAATTTGCGAAATATTCTTTGTGGTATGACACGTCAGTGAAACTGGTGTTCCCTGTTCTTAGTCTGTGCGCCCGGCCTCTATTTTTAAGTTTTAGTGGAATATTTAAGGCTTCTCTCCAAAACTAAATTTTCCAATCATCTAAATTCATCTCTGGGAGAACCAGTCGAGTCTGCGCGTAGACTACTGGAACACAAACCACCCGTTCTTAAAGGACCGTTTTCTAACAGTTAAAGGGGCATCGTTTAAAATCTAAATTAGTCCTGGGCTGGTGTCGCCACTTTGAAATATGCTTTCAAAAAATGGGCTGCAAAGAAGGGTAAGGTCAAAAGGACATAGGTCTGAGGAAAGGGAGTAGAGACTGGGAGATACGACTATCTATACCTGTCGGTATTTCTAGAAATCTTGAGAGATTAATCTACAAAGAAATGATTTATTTAGTATTTAGAGTCCCCCCATGCAATGAGAGCTCCAACTTGCACTAAAAGCACCTAAAACTGCTGGGAAATCTGTTAAGGTCTTCTTATGGCAGCAACAGAAGGCCTCTTCTCTTCCTTAAACATTAGAGTTATATTGGATAGAATTCCGTAAAACATAAACAATATTTCGTAAAGCACCGTTGTCGCACGTCCAGACTGTGAGGAATTTCACTTACCACACCCAGGCCACGCCCTGTTCCAATTGTTTTTCACAGGAACGTTTCCAAGGTTTTGGTCGGGGGAAGGGTGAGCACTTTTTTGGATCTGCTAAGCCCAAATATTTTAAACGTGATTTAAGAACTTCTAATCAATCAAAATTTTTAGACATTATGAAAATCATACATCGCAAAATGTTCTATTGGCACTCATTATGAAAGTAATCTCATAGGCCCTAATGAATAAGATGAAGGTAATCTAATGAAGCCCAATGGGTCTTTAAACAAACCATTCCCAACCACTACTCTTTTACGATTCTTCGTCTATTATATGATATCAATACTGATGTGGAAAAAAGTATCATACAAATGTTAAAGAATACATCAAAACATGCAAAAAAACACTTGCATTTCTTGGTGTTGATCAAAATGAAGTGCTTGTCAAGATCAGAAAAACTGTGCTGTATCTCTTCTCCAAGCTACTGCTACTGTGTCGACTTCGCTCCAATTCACGTGATATCAATCCTGGGATGTTTGTGAATTGCAGGTTATACTTGCAATCATATATTCATCACATTGATAACCTAGATAGAATGACCTGTACCCAGAATGTCATGACTCATTAGTGCCTATAATATATCGGTACCTTGAGTACATATATCGCAAACGTCTTATGCAGAGCAATGTAAATTCATTATCATACATTAGGTTTAGTAGTGATCGGCTGAAGGATACTTGGGCAATTAGAAATTACAAATGGTTGAGGCATCAAGGGGACCGTTTGGTTACAGATTTATATTCATTGTTCTATTTTTTCATTTACTGGTGCGTTGCTGGTAAGCGGTTTGGGTGTTTGACTGCCGCAGAAAAGGTCGAGGGTTTCAAACTTGATTTAGTCCATTCAGGGACGCTGGAGAGGGGGCGAGGGGTCGACCGCCCTTGTTGCCTTTTGATAGGAGGGGCAAGAGAGGCTACAGTGCCTTTTTCATGGAGGTCCCTTTGAAGCCGGTTTTTTTGTAGGAAACCCATGAGATACACATGAATTCCTGACTGTAGTGCCTTATTTATGACGACAATTCTCGAAACTTGTGAATAAAATTTCTTATGAGAAATTTAGCCGATTTTTAAGATACCGACAGAAGATCAGAACAAAATTACAGTTACGAAAGAAATGTTGGTAGCTGAAAATTAGTTTTTCTCAAATGCCCTTTTACTCAAGCCCGCCTTGCTTCTTGGTCGTTCCGGCGTCCCCGAGTCCATTTTGAAATACGGTTTCCAGAGCACCAACTGGCATCTTGGTGCCAATTACCCTACCTCGAAAGCCATCTCTGGCCAGGATAAATGACTTCCCTAAACTAGGACTTACCCTAATTATAGGTAGCAAGCGAGACCCAGTTTACCCTTTACGCTACGGGAATAATGTTCACTCTCAAAACAGGAATGACAGTGTCAAAACAAACGAGAGACCAAGAAATTATATTTTGTTTTTGTTCCAAATTTAAAGAATATTTTTTCTTCATTTGTACCCTTCTTCACGTTCCGAAACATAGATCTAGCTTTACTTTCGTCACTGTTTTAAAACGCAATCTCAACTCAGATAGCATGGCAAGACAACTCCCTGCATTTAAAGCTTCTTTAATAGATTGCTTTTTGAAGAATGTAGCTAAAAGGCAGGCAACACTAGCAGGGCCTCTTAGGGCAAAACCAGGCCCAGGGGTGTGAATAATAAAACTAAGATGTGTTAATATGGATTTGAAATGCTTAAAATTTCCCGTACTTATCTTTATTTTATGTTTGTAAAGCATTGATTAATTTTTCCAGTACATATATGATTTGTAAGCCCCCCTCTCGATAGGCTTGAATGCGAGAGGACTCTGAGCATTCTTAAGAATTCTAAATTTTTTTCAAGATTTCCGGTTAGACAGGGAGTTTGGGATTTTGACCCCATGTTCTCAAGTCGTTGCACTCCTTGGCAATAAGTGCTGTAGCCCAATTGGAAACCAAAACTGGTACTTGCTTCTATGCAATCAAAAGACTATGAGGCTTTCGTTACACTGATTCCCCATCAGGGCCAAGCCTCTTTTTTGTGCTTTATCCCAGCTCTTTTTGACAAATAATGCTCAAGTTACATAATTTACGAATCTTCAAATCCACAGCTTCCTATGTGTTGTTTCCATGTCAATTTGAGCTTATCAATACATTCAAACATAATTAGTAGCATGGGTAACTATTGAACCCTCCGATATGACAGTGTTTTGAAACCTCAGTTAAACAATTCGATTCAAAGCATAGATTGTTACCATGATTCTACCTGTTACGTAAACATTGCTCTAGTTGCAAGAGTAAAAGCTTTGTCATACCGGTCGCTTTTCGGTTTGTCTTTAATTCAATTCACTTTAGTCAAGAAATAATCAAAAACAGTAAACGGTGTCGTTTATATTCATCATTAAACTTGACCAACCGCTTTGTAATTACATCGTCATCATCATCTTGCCGCGTGTACTCGGAATCAACTATCCACCGTACTTTTCCATTCGCTTATGTTATTCATCATTCTCATTAATTCTCGCTAATCAAGGTTAGTGTCCTGGTATACAAAATTGCTATATGCTGGTGGCTCAAGTTCAGTACTACAAATACAGGATAAAAAGGACAACGATTTATTGTTTAGGCTCCAATTCTAATTCCAGTAGAGGACTATATAACTTCGATCAATCATAACGAAAAATCTAGTTTAGATTCCAACTTCGATCCGCTATAATTCTATATTTTTACTTATCTCTTTCAATTCAAACCTAATTTCTATTAAATACTTCAACGTGTAGCACTGATCTAAAAAAACACGATCGAACAACCTCTTTCTTCTACATCAGCACGAGGAAGCAATCGAGTATCTCCATGTTGGGATTTCGCGCGCCTTAGGCTTATAAGGGCTGCCATGGGTAAAAACGGCTAAGGGATGGCTAAATTTAGAGGGGGCTAATTAAATTTTTCCTTCTGAAAAGGGTGCTAATGAGAGAGGGGGGCTTAATTGAGAGAGAGCTGAAAAGAGAATTTACGGTAATTACCAAGTCAAACTTAAACCAACGTGTCGTAAAGTGGTGTTTTGAAGGTGTTGTTTTCTTGAAACGAATATTTAGGCCATTATTTGACGATACGAGCAATTATTAGATGAACTTGGCATTCCTTCCATGGACGTAAGAAGCATTTCAAAAGTTGGGGGCACATGTAATCAAAATAGGGACACCTTTTTAAGCTGCGAGTAGGTACTTTAATACTGTTTTAAAAAAGTGGGGGACACGTGCCCCCTGTGCCCTCTGGTTTCTAAGCTTATGATTTTTTCAAACTTTTGAATTATTGGATATTTACTGCATCAATTTTTTGATTTTCTATTGCAAGAATGTCAATATGAGGCTAGTGGCCTTGGGTCTGTAACTCCCCTCCCCCTCACTTTGACAAGATCGCTGCTAGATTCAAAGGCAAAACGTCAACATTCTTTGCCACAATCTGATCTTCCTGTTCTTCTACAGACAAAGCCAAAGCTTTTTACTCTTCAAAAGAGCCTTGCTCCAACTGCGGCAGAATGTTTTTACACTTGTATGTGCACAGTATGTTAAAAAGGTGGCACCAATGCTTGCACTCTCTTAGCAATGTATTTTAATTATTGTAAGCAGTGGGGTATAAATAGGATGGGGGGGATGATGGATGCAGGCCCCGATACTGAATTTCACAGAACCCAAAAATCGAATTGTAATCTTGGCCTCAGCTAAAGGCAAAAGAGAGCAGCTAGATTCGAAGCAAAGGAGTATTAACAGGAAGAGACTTCAATGGCTAAAACTCTCTGTGATCTTGAGTGGTCGTAACTTGAGGCTTGCAGAACTGTAGCAAGATTAGCTTTTATTGACGAAATTGTCAATACACATATAGAAGTAAAGCTAGCACAATATTTTACACTGTAGAATATACCAGCAAAGCAGAGTTCCTTACACAAACGCCCAAAAATTTATTCAGATTTTAACAGGGAAAGACATTTAAAAGTATCATTTTGTCCTAGGGAGGTCCTTAAGTTGAACACGATTCTCATCAAAAACTCAACAAATTTAAGTAGGTTTTGGAAATAGATGTAGAAAGGTTGCTAATAACTCAGTACGTTTTTGCATTTTGTGTGTAGTGACCGGTCGTTCAGTATGCTCATTCTATACTTCTTGCTCTTGAGTCCTCAATTATCATAATTTTCTTTTGCTATACTTATATACACTACCAGGACAAAAGTATTGCAACACCCAAATGAAAATGACATCCAACAAAATTGAAGTTTTGCAGATTTATATCTTTGCGCTGAAAAATTTCCCTTAAAAGAGAAAATAACCATGCTAAACCAATAATCAAATTCTTTGAAATTAATTGAGGTTTTCGAAATACTTAGAATTACAGTATTAACGTAAGAAATGTTACAGTTATGAGAAAAAATATCTGCAGTGGTAAAATGAAAAGATTGACAGGATGAGGAGCTAGTAGTTGTGACAAAACTTCCTGTAACTGGTCTTGTAATTCTAAATATTTCGAAACTATTTATAGAAAATGATAGCAAAATAGTGAGAGATCAGGTAACAACAAATGAAGTCATTATTCCCGACTTCTTTACCCCGAAATTTTTCAACTCCATCTTTGGTATTTTTTTGGTACAGTTAGTTAAATTGGTAAATTTTCAACTACCTAGTGACGTGCGAGTTAATGCAATGAAATATATGTCAAAATAATGCAAAAGAAGTATCTTTGGTGGAATCAAATCAATACTAGGGAAATGAGGAAGACAGTATTTTTCATAAGAAGCAATACATCCCCTTACAAGGCCATTTTTACTTAAATTTACCTGAAAATCTGCAAACTCTATGTCCTTCCTCGGCCATCACGAAGACCTAACCGTAAAAAAGCGAAAATGTCTTGTTTCCAATGTAAATTATCTGATTTGAAATCCGCGAGGTTCTTTAAGGCCCAAACAAAAACTGACTCAGAGAGTTTTTTGAGAATGAAGGAAAATTCCAGTGCATTTTATCAAAATTTTTTGCATGAGTTCCTAAGCAATTTTCTGCACTTATCAGAGCCAGAAGCACTTCCACAAAATGTAAATAAATAGTTACTTGAATGGCTGATAAAAAAATTTTCATTCGTTTATTTTACTTTCCTTTGCCGTCTTCTTGGAAAATAGACTCGTTTCCCACTTGAGACCTTCTCACTGTCAAACTTCCAATTTATCTTCCAAAGCAACTCCAATTAGAGTTTCTATCCTTTCGCCACCTCTTTGTACACTTACGTTCAAAAAGTATTGGGACACCCTTCGAAACTTCGAAGAAATTTTATGCAACAAATTCGGAAAGACTTTTTTAAAATCTTTCTCATTAAAAAAGTACGGCAGTTATTTCCATGAAATTTTCACAAGACATTGTTGATATTTTGAAGCCTTTTATGTACGCCAAAAAATTAAAAATACATCTACCATAAAATTTCTATAGGTCTCGAGACGAAAACATGGAAGCTCTGAAAACTCAAGAACTGAGTTAGGAGAAGCGCTTAAAAATTGCTTTCTACTATAATAAAGTAAATGGATTTTGCGATATTGCATCAATTCTCGGCTGCTCAATGAGTGCAGCTTTTCTGGTGTGTAAAAAGTTTTTCCGTACAAGAACAGAAAAAAATTTACCAAGGGTTTGCAGACCAAAGAAGTTTACGACGCCTAGGGACGACAGGTCTTTACTGAGGGAACTGGAAGTAATAGGTTTGAATCCTTACTAGATATTATGTTGTCGTATAAAAGGAAGCTAATTTTTGGAACATAAGCAAAAACATGGCTATAGAAGTCATGAAAAATACAAATTTTCCAGCGTTATAAGAAGAAAATGCTCTCTCAAAGCAAAAATTACTCATCGACGATGAGTACAATGGCTTTTCCTTTAATGTTACGCAATTTTAAAAGTAGCTTGAATAAATGCAATAATTTAATAAATTTGTAGCATTTTCGTCGATGAAGTAAATTTTTTTTGAAGCTTAAAAGTTTGATTTTATAATTTCTTTAATAATTTTTTTTGTTATGCAAAGGTGAAATTAAAAAGTTGTATTTGTTTGGACAGCTCTAAAATTTTTGGAAGGTCATGTGACTTTGCCATTGTTAGGCCATTCAGCCCTTCTGCATATTTTGCTGTTATAATCAGGAAAATCGAAAGAATCCTGTGTTTTCTTGGTTATTCTTCATAAGTTGAAGCATTTTGTTAACTTTTTATTCCATTTTGGGGAAACTTGGGCCTAGATTATTTGTATAAAGACTTGCCAAATCTGAAAAAGTTTCCGTTGCAAAACCAAATCCAACGCAACGCCATAGTTCGTTTATCGAATTCGTCCCAATACTTTTTGAACGTAAGTGTACATGATATGCATGTTGTAATTTAAAGATATCAAACTTTACTTTGTTTTGAAATTTACTTTGTTTTCTACCACGAAAACTATAATGCACCCCTTAAAATTGAATGAATGAAACTGGAAAGGTGAATATTAATTAGCTCCCTCCTCATCTTTTCTTGGCCTCCTACTCTCGAAACACATCGAAACAGCATTCACTTTATCTTTACTTCTCCTGTAGGTTGCTATTGACGATGCGTCACGTGATAGCTAATTCCCAGTAAGCAATGGGGACACCATTGAATTCAAACGAGAGGTTGTAAAAATTTAAACAGTCCGAAAATTTGTTATTGAATACTCCGTTCTTAGGAATGGCTCGTTTCTCAGATGAACATAGCAGTTTCTATGAAAAGACTGTTATCGAGATTCGTTGCAAGTTCTGTGACAGAAGCCTTAGCTCACGAGGAATGAAGGCCAATTTAATAGCCGATGTTTCTGTGGAGTTGTATTCGACGGATTCCCCCCAGATTGTGTGAGATTAATTTTGTTTGTTATTTTCTATTCAAAGCCTGAAACATATTAAGCACATCATCATATTTAGCATATTTTAGCCCTTTTTGTTGTAATATCTGCTTGTTAGGCACGTACCAGACCAATACAAGCCTTTCTCGTAATACCTGGACAAATCTAAAATCAGATAAATAGAAAAGGTTGCACCCAAAAGATCAGTTGGCCTGCAAGGGAGCTGCCTGCAGGCCAAGCAGAGGACAGTAGCAGCTGCCTACAAAAGATCACTACCTCAAAAGTCTGCATGCATACCAAAGTGCCAAGTAATAAAGCAAAATCATACAGTTCTGCTGCAAACTAGCTGATATATATTTTGCATATTGTTCATACCACACCATGTGAATTGTCATTTGAAGCTTGCTTCCTTTCTAGAAAAAAATATTGTTTATCTTAAAATACATGTCTTTCAAAATTAAAACAAACTCCAACACTTGCTATAAAATTATTTTCAGAGTACACTAGACTAATGGGCTCATAACCTCTTGTCCTCATTTTTTCACAAAATATGTGCACCAATTTTACTTTCATGGCAACCTTCTTCATTTCTTTTTAAAGAAACTGGTTAATAAAAACTAGCTGCTTTAATTGATAAAGATTCACAATTCATGAATATACCATAAAATTATCAAAAGCTTAAATATCCCATCACATATTTTTTCAGAGAAAGGCTTTATTTTAGTTAAATACGAATTACTCAATAAAATTGAATGTATAGAAAATGGAATGGAAGTATTATCTTTTGTACAGCAACATTCAATGACCTTTGCATTGGCTCACAATGTTTGATCTATGCCATATGGTCATTTGCAGTGTTCCACTTTTCTAATTTTATGCAAATATATTTTTCACATATTGTTAATACCCCCACCATGCTGAATAGTTAATTAAAGCTTGCTTCCTTTTTAAAGAAAATATTGTCTAGCTTAAAATACATTGTCTTTCAAGTTTAAAGCAAACTCCAACTTCTCTTTGAACTGTGATACTGTCTAGAGTTTAAACTCAGAGCTTGTTGATAGAAGTTTTTATATTTTTGAATTATTCTTTGCTGGTTGTGTTTCTTCATAAAGGACAAGTTTTGTTAGAAAAGAAATCTGCTACTGATGTATTTGTAAAAGAAACCAGTTTTGGAATGGATCTACATACAAACAAAAATACATGTATACCATGTAAACCACAAAAAACAATTCATTTTTTCGCTTGGACTCCAGTGGTAATTTTCCTATGGGCATGTGCTACTGATTGGATAACTATTGCGGTCATGTGATTGCGTTTTTCTGATTGGCCTATTTCAATCCTCAACTGGGAATAATTTTCCATCTTGTTCTTTTTTATTTTTATTCTGACAATTTATAGTCTGAGGAGTGTCAGACCAAAAGCTTTAAGTTAGTATGTATGTTGTGAAATGTTTGCTTTTTCGCATAGGCATTTTCACTGATGTATCTGTGATCTCTTTCATAGAAATATTCTCCCAGTTGGATGTGTGCGAAAAGCAGAAACATGTTTTTGTATGGTATCTGATATTGCTTGTATTGGTTGGTAAGTTGAATATTAAAAATTGTTGAAGATGGTTTTATTTTGTACTGGTAATATAGGTGCTAGAATACTTATTTTTAAGAAGCATGCTATAAGAAAACTTGTACTTGTACTTGGCAATCATAAAAAAAAAAAAGTCAGTACTTGAAGCATAACAATTAAGAAACAAACTCAGTTTTGAAATGTCTTGAACTCAGAAAAATCATGAAAATTCAGCAATTTTCCCAACTAGATAGCATACAATTTCAGACAGTGAAAAAAAAATTTAAGTATTGCATCAAAATGATTGCAATAGTAATTATAGTTAAGAAGCTCTTAAGAAACAGTGAGTACTTGAATTTCCTAAGGATTAAGAAATTGGAGTACTCCACTTCAACCTTTGTTTGTTGTTAAATACATTAGTGTATGTAGCAAAAATGATGATAAGAAAGGACATTGTTCACTCTCACATTGCCTTAGAAATTGATTTGTTAATGTTTGTAAAAATACAAGGAGAGGTGGCCATAATCTAGCCCAGGCTTGTCCAACGCCTGGCCCGTCATGTTGTCTAGTGTTGTCTAGTGTTGTCTAGTGTTTTGTCTAGTCTTGGGACAAAGTCGATAAAGAACTGCATTGTATTTATTCAGGTTGTAAGAGAGAAATTGATTCATATTATTTACGATATTATTATTTCATATTATTTACGTACCGTACACTTGGCGACCAGGGGCGTCGCGACCGGGGGTGTGGGGGGTGTCACACCCCCCCAATAGTATCTCAATAGGAAATTTCAGGTAAAATCCGCTTGGTGGAAGAAACGCTTTAGGTATTTTAGAGACCTTCATCTCATACAATCAATAAAGGATCAAGCAAAGGTAGTTGCTCCGTTGGTTAAATATGATATTCCTCGATATGAATGAAGGTAAACAAACTAATGATTTGAATATTTGAAGATTTCTTGTTGGCACTAAATCGAAAAATTCAGGCCCTCTTCAGTTAAAATTGTGTCTTGGGTCCATTTCCCCTAAAGTTTCTCGGTAGAAGCGTCAACTGCAATTCACAATGAGCTCCAGATTTTTTTACATTCAAAAGGCATGCTAAGATGGAGAGAGGGATCTAAATTGACAACCAGTGCTGCTTGTTATCTAGCTTTAGAAGTAACTGACATCATGGTATTTTTCAAGACCACGGCGAAATTGAACCAGTTGTTTTTATCTGCTGTTCGATCTGTTTTCAAAAAAATTACTATCAATAGGATTAGGAGGATTGCTTTAGTAAAATGTGCTTGAAAGAGTGCATTTTCCAGTGAACTAGAAGCATCAAAATTCGATAAATTCCTGCTCCTTCGGCGGCAACCATGGTGCCGCCTCGGGTAGTAACTATAACCTTTGCCCGTTCCGATATAGAGATTTGACAAAACTATTAGGAAAATTCCGTTATTTTCAAATGAAAATGAAAGTTGTGAGTTATATACAGAGTTAGATTGACAAAATGCATTGCAGAGGTTTGTGACAGCAACTAAAGAATTTCAGGCAAAAATTTTTTAATCAGGTAAATTTGTAGTCCACACCCCCCCCCCCAACAAGGCTTTCCTCGCGACGGCCATGTTGGCGACTTCCGGTTCAACGCAGGGAACCAAACCCTCTATTTTGTGCCCAAACCATAAACGCGCCGCGCTTGTTTATAAAGTTCAAGATTGGTACAAGCCAATGGCGGCGCCAGCCACTAAGCTCTGGGGGGGACAAACCAAAAAAATTTAAGCCACGCCCTTTTCACCACCAGAAAACGCCCTTTTACCAACAGGGAACGCCGATTTTATCCAAAGGGAACGCCTGAGACTAACTTTTGTTTGAAAATTGGCGGTTTGAAAATCATAGGGTTACATCACAAAAAGTTCGGTGTCAAAATATTAGCCCTCCCCAACATTTTCTCATCGAATTCAGACGAAATACAAACTCGATGCTTCTGAGAAGTGGGGGGACCTGTCCCCCCCGTGGCGCCGCTACTGGTACAAGCCATGTTTCTAAAAAGCAGGAAAGTGAGATGTGAACTTGGGAAACGCAATTTAAAATTATCGCGGACAACCGATTTTTCCGTAGCTCAGCAAAATGACTTTGTTATGTGCTTGATTTGTTTGAAAACATCGCAGTGCGGAAGAAATACAATATTGCTAGGCATAATAACACTAAACATTCATGTTATGATAAGCTGGAAGGCCAGTTACATGTTGATAAATTAGCACACTCATCTGGACACTTTTTTTGATAAAATTAGCGCTAAACACAAAATGACTTCATATACACTTTAACAGTACGATTTAATGTGTTCCCACGTCCGCGCAACCCCTAAGCGACTCATTTTTTGGGATGGGACGATATGAAAAGGAACTGGGCCAAACAGGCAATGCAGCCATACAAGTGGCCCCTCGGTTACTACGTTATTCTGAATGTGGCCCTTCTGGAAATAAGGTTGGACAGCCCTGATCTAGCCTAGCCAGTACCAAACAAGATGAAAGAGTCGTAGAGCCAAGATGTAGAGCCAAGAAATTTTTCTTATTGCAGTTTTCAAATAAATTGCAAAATATGTACCTTCCCTAATTTTCTTTCATAGAAGTATTTGATTCCCTGCAAAGGCTTTGGCAATAGATCTACTGACAAGAACATTTATTTTGTTTCACATGTTGAGCTTTTCTATACCGTAAATTCATGAATAGGCACCCTAGGCCCCTATTAGGTGTTTTTAGCTATTTTTGTGGTGCTTGCTGGAGTGGGACACCCAGTTGAAGAGTTGGGGTCCTTGTTAGATTTTTACTTTTTCTGAAGATCCTACAGGGCCTAAAATTAGCATGGATCTGACTCACTTTGTGAAGTTGTGAATTAAAATTGTGGAACGGTAATGATAAAAAATGTGGATTTGTAAATAATGCATGTTCTTAAAAGTGCAGCATAAAATACCAATCGAAATGCCTAAGAGAGAAATGGGAACATTTTTCAATTCGAAGTGAATGCCAAATCCCAGATTTATGTATTGCACTCATTTTTTATAAGAAAATTGCGATAAGAAATAAGCAATGGTCAATAAAGAAGAATAAAGAAACTTCAGAGCTCGAAGCTTCAGTACATGGGGAGAAAAATTATTGCGCTTTATGATATTGTTGTGTGCTATTTTGAAGTAAGATGGACTTTGTATACAGTAACAGTTCTGCTAAGAATACGTTTTTGTTCCTTTTGATGGTGCTTTATGCATGTTCTTAAGATAAATGATCAAAGATAAATTTGTATTTTATCTTTTGTATGTTTATGAATAAAGACAGAAAGAAGCAAATATTTTCTGAAAGGAATGCTTTCCGGTATTTCAAAGGGCGTGGCCGTAAAAGATCTAGGGGCAAGACTCCTTGTCCCGTTCCAACCACTCCTTTGTGGGCTGGTGCTAGTGTGACCTGATCTAGCGTAATATTGCATAATATTGGCCAAAAAACGTCATTTTGCATAAAATCTAGCATAATTTGGAATCTAGCATAACTCTGGCATAATTCTGATATTATTTAAAAGAATCATTGTTTCCATTGATCCATTGTCTATCATTACCAAATGCAAACACTTTACACCAGCATCTATGGTTTCATTTTGGGAGTGAATTGTGACTTTCCCCCTACAGGATTTTGCTAGTTGTTTTGAATGGTTGGCAGCCACATATTTTGTGGTTGGCAGCCAAATGCAGCCAGCTAAACACAGAACACAAAAAAGCTAAATTTTTGCTAATAATTGGGAGTGAAACCGTAATAAAAATTTGCTTTGTAGGTTACAAAAGTTTTCACTTGCTTTTATCTAAAACTTTCTGTTATCTTTTACTTTGTTTCATCATTTATCATTTGCAATTTTGAAATTATTTCAAAAAGTTTTAAATATTATCCAGAATTCAGCCAAATTTTGCTTCTTCGGCCGATTCAATTTATGACGGCCAAGAAACTGGCCGTCATACAGAAACCAGCAACTAAACAACACTTTTGCAGGGAATGAAAGAGAGAAGAAACGCGCGTACAGTCAAAGAGTTTTACAAGTTGAGCATGGTTCTTTTACGCCATTGATTTTCGCTCACAGTGGTGGTTCAAGTAGAGAAACTGAAAAGTTTATAATCGGTTTTATCAACGAAGATATCAGAGAAACGTGATCTCTCATTTTCACTGGTTACCAATTGGATTCGTACCAAGCTGTCATTTGCACTACTTCGAAGTGCCATACTGTGCATACGCGGTTCCAGAAATAGGCAAAAAAAAGTTCAAGTGGACACAGCCAACATAGAAATTGTAGAAACAATATCCCGGATTGATTAGTTAAAATTGTTTGGAAAAATAAAAAGATTCAAGTTTTTTCAAGATTTGTCCGAAACATGTGTGAACCGGCGGCCTTTTGGTATATAAACAGCGCCAAATGTTGAATCATTGATGAGAAAAAAAAGAAAGAAAAAAATTTATGACGGCCAAGGGGTTTTGAGAAACTGCCAAAATGGAGAAATTTGGCCATCAAACCATGGATCTAAATTGCCTTTCTGTTTATGGAGAATGAGTACACTGGGTTGTCAAAAAGACCAAATTGCAACTCTGGCCACTTTTGATATTCTCAGCATGCATTAGCCTCTTTCTCGAGCAGGGTTGCCTTGATTTGAAATCTAGAATAATTTTTGCAAATCTAGTACAATCTTATGATAAATTTGGCGTAATTCCAAAAGTGAGATCTGCTGCTGGTGCGTGGTGTCTGCATTACAAACAAGATAGGCGAAAAGACAACAAGAAGAAACAAGCACAATTTGTACATCAGTGAGAGAAGAGTTTATTTGCCATCTGTAACGAGGTTCTCGTTTATAGTAACATAACTTTTTGAAAAACAGATTTGATGGCAAAGAATTTGATGGGCTAAATGCAATTAAGTATTTCATAAGTAAAACAGACTTCACCCAGCTTTTGTCCCAGACAAAATATTTCATTCAATCATACATTAAAATTTGAGAAATAAACGACTAAGATCACAGAGATCTGAGACTTGTTCTCAGAGGAATTCTTCCAGACGAGACAATGGCTCTGATTCTTGCAGCAAACCCTCACCCTGTCCATGTAGAGAGGCTGATTCCCACCTACAACAAGATAGAAGCAGGTGGGGAAAGCAGCATAGCTCCAGAAAAACCTAACAAAGATATGAATATTTCAATAAATATGCTTGATCTCGCAAGTTTCGAGTTCCGAGAAAAGCTGCAAAGATGTAGCTTCAAAAAACCAAACAAAACCATAGTCTGGGAAGCAAGGCTGACTTAAGGGAGTTTTTGAAGTTGAAAGGAAATAAAAAACAACTTTGATAGAGATCCGAACAAACCATGTAAAAGAGTTTCCTTTCGATAACTTTTTGCTCACATATCAAGACATCGCTATATGTAGCTAATTTTCTTATTAACCCAATCCATTTATTGTAAAGAATCAGCTTTTGCTACTTATACTTCATTCATTAAAGAACTTGCCCAATTAGGACATGCTATTTGCACTATGATGGCAGTTTCTATATTTGCCACCCCCATGATGCCAACCCCAGCAAAGTACCACGCCCAATTATTGTAAAAAATGTGAATCTGTAAAAATTTCTTATTTTAGGCCCTGAGATCCTTTGCTTAAAATGATAATTAGATTTTTGAGTATTTTTGAATAACTAACTTCAAAAGATAAATGAAACTGTACATTTTGGATTTCATTTGAAAATACATGCACAGCTAGAGTTTTCTTCTTGTAAAAAATAAGTGTTGTCTTTAGGCATTGTCTTATCAATGAAGCAGTGGAAAATTCAAGAAATGGGTTGCTCACTTGAAGGGAGTAATCTCAAAATTTTTGACTGTTTGGGGGTGTTCTCAGTTGAGCAGGGAGTTCTTTCAAGGATTGAGATGCTCTTTCAAAGTGGGACACTCATACAAGAATTTATGGTAATTAGCTGTCTTCAAGTTACTATCTCTCACCTAAGCAACTTTTTTCTAGTGGTAATATTGTTGGTTATCATGTCACCAAGCCATGTACGAACTGTTTATCTTCATGCAACAATGGTCATTTCTGGATGTTTTTGTCAGAGGCATCTTATCAAAATGAATTGTATGATGCAGGTTTGTTTTCCATTTTCAGAATTTTAACGTTCTATCCTGATGCTTTGTTGGTTATTTGCTTCTTTCCATTGAAAATGTGGTAAGGGTTTATGTAGAAAAAAAATTCCTATGCAAAAACAAAGAACTTTTTGCCCTCTCTGGGTGCTTAGTCAGCAAATTTCCAAACATGTCGGTAAAAGAAGGATGGCTCAACCACTTTTTAATCGAATGGGACATGGACACCCCACTTTATCAAAGTAGTTAGCGACAACCCTGACAATAATGTGCTCGTATTTCCGATTTGCATATTTAGATCCATACTTGGGTATATATACATTTCTTAGCTTGAAATTCTCGATCATTGTTATAGCGACGCCACAGAGGTCAATAGAACATATAACAGTTTTTTCTCTTAAATATATTAAATTTTCAAAGATATAGTCCCTAATTCATCAAATCAAAAGAAAAATTCCTTTGCTGGCCCCCAAGTTTAGAATTGGTGACGCGGGCCCAACAAATAAAATGGTACCTAATGAGCGCAATGGCGGTGCCAATCATGCCCTTTTCTACTCATTTCAGTTCTTTAGGCGTATTTTCCTTCCCCGGGCAAGTTCAAAAATTATGACCTACCTTTATTTAATTAATTTTTAGAACAATAATGTGAACCATATTTGACGTATGCTGAGGGAGGTTGGGGTATATACACCCCCTTGCAATGCCACTACTTGAAATTTTTCCTCTTGCTCAACAAACCAAAATTTCTTTGCAAACTAGATAAACCTTAGGCTTCTTTTCTTTCAAAGTATATTTAACCATAAATCGCGACTGTAAATCTTGAAGCTTGTTAATTTAGACACGTTTTGGTTAGTGCAGGTATTAATTTCTACACATTATAACACGATGACGCACACAATAACATATTTATTCATAATTTAGATGAATACCTCTTTTACAATAGTCACATACTTTAAGCAAGATATAACCACTAGTGGTAATTTTTGTCCCCTTCTTTATTTATATTGAAATGTCTTATTCAGAAGTTATCAAATTCTCAGTGATGTAGCATTTCCCCATTTTGAGACAAAATTCAAGGATAATACCCCCTCTTATTGTGCATCCAGTGCAAAGTAAAGATTTTTCGCTAGGTCCATTTCAACAGAAAATCTGTTAAATTAAGATTTTTATTCGGGCTTTCTTTCATGAAATTGAGAAAAGTTTCTCATAGGCACATATAGAATGTGCTTTAGAATGATGTGATCAGCCACAGACGTAAATATCTAAGGGGGTACCAGACGGTCGTAGCAGCAGCCAATAGGCTATGAAGTGGGGGAAAAAACACTGTAGACCACGCCCTTTTTATTTATAAGAAAACACCTTTTACCAACAGGAAAAAAAAACTATTCCATCAATTTGGATGTTAGTCATTCAGATGGCAACCACTAACGTTTGGTTGCACAAATGCAGTTTCAAAATCACAGTATCACGTCACAAATGATACCTTTGCCAAAATACTACCCCTTCCCCAAATTTTTTTATCGACTGTTCTGATCAATATCAAGAATCATAGCGTTTTTTAAAGATGTAATTTAAGGACTGTCCTGATAGAAGTATTTTTCACGAGCCAGCAATTTCGTTTTTTTCTTGCTGCAGATGTAGACAGAGTGAAATGGGAATATCTTTTAGACAACACTGACGGTAAAAATTGTGCGATTGGATCTATACAAAGAAAGTATTCAGATGACTGTTTGAGGTAAGATTTTGTTGTGAACAGCTTTACCTGTTTAGAGATAATATAATTATTGATACACAGAGTAGACAATAGGTATTTAAGGATGAAATCCGTTTTATTTAGTTTGTAGCAAATTGTTAATATTGTGAATTGAATCTGAATTTTCAATGATGTTGTATTTTTATGCTATGTGGGTATCAAGACTTTATTTTTCGTTTCCAAACTATAGAGCTGTCTTGTTACCTTTTCTCTGCAAAAGCATCGCGAATGGGACTGAAGAGAGACCCAGGGAGGATGAAGAAGCTTAACCCTCTGAATATTAATTTCGCTTGGTTTTTACCATATTGACCAGAAAAAAATTGACGGCTTTCCTAATCCTATAACCTTACTTATTTCTTCGTAAAACAACCTGTATCCACAGTCCTATTTTCAAGAAAATATGACTTTTAATTCAGAACTAAATTCAATTCTGCTTTATATTGATAATAAAGGGGAGTTCTTCACCTAATCTGGGATTGAAAAATATATTTTAAAAATTCGACGATTTCCCTAAGCCTACAGCCTTGCCTTTTTATATCGAAAAGTGACCCTTGTCGACCGTCCTAGTTTTATAAAATATAATTCCCATTTTAGAATTAAATTCAATTCTGCTTTATTTTGATAATAAAGGGGAGATTTTACCTAATTTGAGACTAAAAGATATTTGGAAAACTTGACGATTTTTCTAAGCCTATAGCCTTGCCTTTTTATATCGAAAAATGACCCTTGTCTACCGTACTATTTTTAGAAAATATAATTCCTATTTTAGAATTAAATTCACTTCTGCTTTATTTTGATAATAAGAGGGAGATTTAACCTAATTTATTACTAAAAAATATTTGAAAAAATTTCACGATTTTCCTAAGCCTATAGCCTTGCCTTTTTATATCGAAAAGTGACCCTTGTCGACCGTCCTATTTTTATAAAATATAATCCTTTTTTTAAAATTCAATTCAATTCTGCTTTATTTTGATAATAAAAGGGAGATTTTACCTAATTTGAGACTAAAAAATATTTGGAAAAATTTGAGGATTTTCCTAAGCCTATAGCCTTGCTTTTTTACATCGAAAATTGCCCCTTTTCTGCAGTCATATATTCAAGAAAGTATAATTTTTATTTCAGAATTGAATTTAATTCTGCTTTATTTTGATAATAAAGGGGAGAATTAACCTAATTTGAGACTAAAAAATATTTAGAAAAATTTGACGATTATCCTAAGCCTATAGCCTTGCCTTTTTATATCGAAAAATGACCCTTGTCTACCGTACTATTTTTAAAAAATATCATTCTTGTTTCAGAATTGTATTCAATTCTCCTTTATTTTGATAATAAAGGGGAGATTTAACCTAATTTAAGACAAAAAAATATTTGAAAAAATTTGACGATTTTCCTAAGCCTATAGCCTTCCTTTTCTTTATCGAAAATTGACCCTTGTCTACCGTACTATTTTTAGAAAATATACTTTTTATTTAAGAATTAAATTCAATTCTGCTTTATTTTAATAATAAAGGGGAGATTTTACCTAATTTGAGACTAGAAGATATTTGTAAAAATTTGACGATTTTTCTAAGCCTATTGCCTTGCCTTTTTATATCGCAAAATGACCCTTGTCGACCGTCCTATTTTAATAAAGTATAATTCCTATTTTAGAATTAAATTCACTTCTGCTTTATTTTGATAATAAAGGGGAGATTTTACCTAATTTGCGACTAAAAGATATTTGTAAAAATTTGACGATTTTTCTAAGCCTATTGCCTTGCCTTTTTATATCGAAAAATGACCCTTGTCTACCGTACTATTTTTAGAAAATATACTTTTTATTTAAGAATTAAATTCAATTCTGCTTTATTTTAATAATAAAGGGGAGATTTTACCTAATTTGAGACTAGAAGATATTTGTAAAAATTTGACGATTTTTCTAAGCCTATTGCCTTGCTTTTTTACATCGAAAATTGCCCCTTTTCTGCAGTCATATATTCAAGAAAGTATAATTTTTATTTCAGAATTGAATTTAATTCTGCTTTATTTTGATAATAAAGGGGAGAATTAACCTAATTTGAGACTAAAAAATATTTAGAAAAATTTGACGATTATCCTAAGCCTATAGCCTTGCCTTTTTATATCGAAAAATGACCCTTGTCTACCGTACTATTTTTAAAAAATATCATTCTTGTTTCAGAATTGTATTCAATTCTCCTTTATTTTGATAATAAAGGGGAGATTTAACCTAATTTAAGACAAAAAAATATTTGAAAAAATTTGACGATTTTCCTAAGCCTATAGCCTTCCTTTTCTTTATCGAAAATTGACCCTTGTCTACCGTACTATTTTTAGAAAATATACTTTTTATTTAAGAATTAAATTCAATTCTGCTTTATTTTAATAATAAAGGGGAGATTTTACCTAATTTGAGACTAGAAGATATTTGTAAAAATTTGACGATTTTTCTAAGCCTATTGCCTTGCCTTTTTATATCGCAAAATGACCCTTGTCGACCGTCCTATTTTAATAAAGTATAATTCCTATTTTAGAATTAAATTCACTTCTGCTTTATTTTGATAATAAAGGGGAGATTTTACCTAATTTGCGACTAAAAGATATTTGAAAAAATTTGACGATTTTCCTAAGCCTATAGCCTTCCTTTTCTTTATCGAAAATTGACCCTTGTCTACCGTACTATTTTTAGAAAATATACTTTTTATTTAAGAATTAAATTCAATTCTGCTTTATTTTAATAATAAAGGGGAGATTTTACCTAATTTGAGACTAGAAGATATTTGTAAAAATTTGACGATTTTTCTAAGCCTATTGCCTTGCCTTTTTATATCGAAAAATGACCCTTGTCGACCGTCCTATTTTAATAAAATATAATTCCTATTTTAGAATTAAATTCACTTCTGCTTTATTTTGATAATAAAGGGAGATTTTACCTAATTTGCGACTAAAAGATATTTGTAAAAATTTGACGATTTTTCTAAGCCTATTGCCTTGCCTTTTTATATCGAAAAATGACCCTTGTCTACCGTACTATTTGTAGAAAATATAATTCCTATTTTAGAATTAAATTCACTTCTGCTTTATTTTGATAATAAAGGGGAGATTTAACCTAATTTGAGACTAAAAAATATTTGAAAAAATTTGACGATTTTCCTATGCCTATAGCCTTGCTTTTTTACATCGAAAATTGCCCCTTTTCTGCAGTCATATATTTAAGAAAGTATAATTTTTATTTCAGAATTGAATTTAATTCTGCTTTATTTTGATAATAAAAGGGAGATTTAACCTAATTTGAGACTAAAAAATATTTTGAAAAATTTGACGATTTTCCTAAGCCTATAGCCTTGCTTTTTTACATCGAAAATTTCCCCTTTTCTGCAGTCATATATTCAAGAAAATATAATTTTTATTTCAGAATTGAATTTAATTCTGCTTAATTATGATAATAAAGGGGAGATTTAACCTAATTTGAGACTAAAATATATTTGAAAAAATTTGACGATTTTCCTAAGCCTATAGCCTTGCTTTTTTACATCGAAAATTGCCCCTTTTCTGCAGTTATATATTTAAGAAAGTATAATTTTTATTTCAGAATTGAATTTAATTCTGCATTATTTTGATAATAAAGGGGAGATTTAACCTAATTTGAGACTAAAAAATATTTTGAAAAATTTGACGATTTTCCTAAGCCTATAGCCTTGCTTTTTTACATCGAAAATTGCCCCTTTTCTGCAGTCATATATTCAAGAAAGCATAATTTTTATTTAAGAATTGAATTTAATTCTGCTTTATTTTGATAATAAAGGGGAGATTTTACCTACTTTGAGACTAAAAAATATTTGGAAAAATTTGACGATTTTCCTAAGCCTATAGCCTTGCTTTTTACATCGAAAATTGCCCCTTTTCTGCAGTCATATATTCAAGAAAGTATAATTTTTATTTCAGAATTGAATTTATTTCTGCATTATTTTGATAATAAAGGGGAGATTTGACCTAATTTGAGACTAAAAAATATTTTGAAAAATTTGACGATTTTCCTAAGCCTATAGCCTTGCTTTTTTACATCGAAAATTGCCCCTTTTCTGCAGTCATATATTCAAAAAAGTATAATTTTTATTTCAGAATTGAATTTAATTCTGCTTTATTATGATAATAAAGGGGAGATTTAACCTAATTTGAGACTAAAAAATATTTGGAAAAATTTGACGATTTTCCTAAGCCTATAGCCTTGCTTTTTTACATCGAAAATTGCCCCTTTTCTGCAGTCATATATTCAAGAAAGTATAATTTTTATTTCAGAATTGAATTTAATTCTGCTTTATTTTGATAATAAAGGGGAGATTTAACCTAATTTGAGACTAAAAAATATTTGGAAAAATTTGACGATTTTCCTAAGCCTATAGCCTTGCTTTTTTACATCGAAAATTGCCCCTTTTCTGCAGTCATATATTCAAGAAAGTATAATTTTTATTTCAGAATTGAATTTAATTCTGCTTTATTTTGATAATAAAGGGGAGATTTTACCTAATTTGAGACTAAAAAATATTTGGAAAAATTTGACGATTTTCCTAAGCCTATAGCCTTGCTTTTTTACATCGAAAATTGCCCCTTTTCTGCAGTCATATATTCAAGAAAGTATAATTTTTATTTCAGAATTGAATTTAATTCTGCTTTATTTTGATAATAAAGGGGAGATTTTACCTAATTTGAGACTAAAAAATATTTTGAAAAATTTGACGATTTTCCTAAGCCTATAGCCTTGCTTTTTTACATCGAAAATTGCCCCTTTTCTGAAGTCCTATATTCAAGAAAGTATAATTTTTATTTCAGAATTGAATTCAATTCTGCTTTATTTTGATAATAAAGGGGAGATTTAACCTTATTTGAGACTAAAAAATATTTTAAAAAATTTAACTATTTTCCTAAGCCTGTAGCCTTATTGTTTTATATCAACAATCGACCTTTTTTCACCGTCCGATTTTTAAGAAAATATTATTCTTAATGCAGAATTAAATGAACTTTTGTTTTTTATTATATAAAGGTGAATCAACCTGATTGGGGACGAAAGGATATGATAAAAAATTGACGATTTTTCTAAATGGAAGAATTTGACGGTTTGGTTAAGTTGACCCTTACATTTTCATCGAAAATCGACCCGTCCTCTCAGTCCTAATTTCAAACAAAATAGAGGCCTATTGCAGAATTAGACTCAATGCTGCTTTATTTGGATTATATCGAGGAGAATAAATTTAATTTGGGACGATTTTGCTCATCCTATAGCCGTAATTTCTTTAGAAGTTAAGAAGTTAAATTGTTCATAAAGTCGCTATTTTTATTGAAAAATACGTCTTCCATCCCAGACCTAAATTAAATTCTTCTTTAATTTTACCTTTAAAATTAACCTCCTTCGAAAAAAATTGTCGAAAAAATTCACAATTTTTCTAAGCCTAAAGGCTTGTCTTTTTCCTGATACAGGCCTTCAAATTGCCTTTAAAAACGGCGCTTCTTTACTTTCATCATATAGATTGAAATTAGCTTTTTGTCAATACGACCTGAATAGCTGTTTACGACCAAAATGCTTGAGGCTTGGTAGGTCAAAGACAAACACGAGTAATGGTTTTCACCAAAATCTAACCCTATAGCCTATAGCTAGTTCGTTTTTTCATCTCAACAACAGGCTTCAAAAATGCTTCTTGAGTTGCCTGAAGGCTTGACGGTAATTGTAGGAAAAATCAGTCTGATGGAGGTGTTCAGAACACTGGTGGCACACAAAATTTTGACGAGTCTATATGTGATGTGTTGCTTTGGAGTTGAGGCTTTGAGGTTTCAAAGGAAATTCACAAATTTTTTGTTAAGTCCGGCAAATGAGGTTTTGCTTTCAAAGGTATCTGTTTTTAACAAGGCAGGGAATGATTGGCCATAGGAAATGCATTAATGAATTTATATGATAGTTTACTTCACTCTCTGATTTGATATAAATAGCAGAATCAAAGGTCGTTGAAAGTTTAAGAGACAAAGCGAAAAAGAAGCTGCAGAGAAGACCAAGACCCAACAATAGTCGCAGTTCATCGAGGTAAGGAAAAATAATGAATTAGTCTGTTTTCTACGCTTTGGCGAAGCATACTGGCCAAGAGCCAACTCATAAAATCGAACTTTTACAAACACTCAAGTCCACTGCTTCTTGTAGTACGCTGGTACAAGTGAATAACAGATCTGATGCAGTTGTTGAAAATGTTTCTACAATACGATATACTGTACAAGCAACAGAAGCAACCTTAAAACAGCAATCCAAAACTAAAATTCTTTTTATTTGACAGGTTTCTTTGAAAATCAAAACTTTCTCGGTCAACCAAGGTCAAAACGTTTTTATGGAATACCAAAAACAGTACAAAGAAAAATTTACGCTATGAATCGAGACTCTAGAATTTCACTCCGTGCACTGCAGACTTCGGGCAACGAATTAGCTTGCCAGATTACACCCTTTTCAGAGGTTTCTACTACACCTTTCGTCGTAGTTGAAGACCAACGATCACTCTTTTCCGATAATTCATACTGGACACAGATTAATAAATCAAAAGAAACAACATATCCCACGATAGGCATAACTAGAGTTCTTAGTTCATTACCTTAAATAGACCATGGCATATCTGCACGAACAGGCTCGTTGACAAAAAAGCGCCTTAATGTTGTCAAGATCAATTCGGGCTACAAATACATAAATTTAAATTGAACGAGACAAAACATTCTTCACTTAACGACCAATAATAACCAAAATATGCTATACAGAGTTTACGATATACAAAGCTGCACATTTAAGTTCCTAAAAATAAACAAACAAGGTACGTTGAATGACTTACCAACTTGGGATAGATGTCTGCAGCAAGCATCTTTATGGCAGTGGGAAGAAGCCAAAAATGGTGTTTACCAGGGCCTAATTTGACGCAGAACTGGGAACCACCACTAAAAGCGTCATAGCAAAGCATACAAAAAGTAGCAAATAAATAAATATGAAAAGGTTAAAAACTGGCTGGACTCTGAATCTACTGCACTAAGAACGAGGGTAGGAAACAGAAGCTTTTCAGGTTTCCCTTCTTCCAAGAAAAACGTCTTTGCCTTTTTTGAATACACTTTATAAATACCATCCACAGGGTCATAGCTTTGACACGAGTTCGTTAAAATACGAATTCAGCTATGACCTCGTTTTGAAAATACATCGATCTTTTCAGTCCTAAATTTTTTATTTCGGATTCAGATTGAGGACCTGAATATTAGTAAGTTTTCGTGTTTGCCCGTGATTAGCAACTGAGGGTGAAAATTTTCACCAAAAACCATTTTGCCATGAAACCCTTTTATATCGCAAGAAATCTACAGTACAATATTTGAGGGGTGAGCCCTAATCGGAGCAAATCAAGTCGTACAACGAAGTTTGGAGAGGTTGTAAGTTGAATTTGTTTAATAAACGAATGAGAACCGTAAAGCATTGCACACTAGAAAATGGCACAACATCGGGGATCGTTATCACAGAAAAATCTGTCTTTAGTCTTTATACATAGTTTACAAAACATGGCATAAAAAATCAGGAGAAACTTCCAGAGCCTATTACTAGCAGTGATAGGGTGCTATCGTAAACTAAGAACAGCCTCTGATATCCTTTTCCCAGAAAAGGACATGAAGTTAAACAAACTGGACTTTGAAAAAGCTGGAAGAAATGTTACAGGTGAATATTTTGAAACGCGTAAGGAAGTCCAATCCTATTTTCACTTTGAGTTTTTAACAGCATCATCGTGTAAAGACACTGATGAAAATAAAAGCAATGGCGTCAGCAGGCGTCAGCACTTGAGACTGTTGTATGAACATGGGCGAGCACACTGCTTGATTGGTATCTTGAGTTCTTCTACCCTCGGTCTAAGAATTCCTTGGCCACGTGTGCAGTCAACGAACGTCCGACCAGAAAACCTAGACTGGCCCCTTCGGATGAACTTCTTTTACACGTGATGGAAGTATGATTAAAACAACTGTTTTCAAGGCCAAAGCATGATTAGGTGAGCAAGAATTCGTGGTTCAAACACTGCGCAGCGGTTGCTCGTTTCTCTGGGACGTAGTCTAACATTGGCTCAATGAACGAAGAGAACTGCTCTGCATCCTTGACTGGCCATTCGTATTTATCGATGAGAACGTCGCGAAGGCACCTTCAGGAGAGAAGATCGGAATTTAGCTCAGTGGTATGAAATGAGAAACGTTTGCATCAGTGGAGATCAATATTTTTCATGTGGTCTTATAGTCACAAATTATTGTTAAAATAAAAATATTGAATTGTAAACAATGCTGTTTCTTCCAAAATTATTAACCCTTTCCAAATTCAATTTTTACTTTCAAAAATCAATTTCTGGTCGATTTAATTACAAGTTAGCACTGAACTGGGGAAATAGCGGGTTTCCCTGCTTCGGGGTCGTTTCTCCATTCAATATAAGCATTTTTTCTTTTATGGTAATAGCATTCAGTCCTCTTTTTACTTTAAGGGTAGCTAAATGATATATTGAAAACATTATGTCATGGATAGTTAGGACTTTACAATCTCCCTTTTCAATGAAAGTAGAGTATAAAAAATCTAACTTAACGAGCAGAAACAACTGATTGATACACAAAACTCAAATGAAGCATGAATGGACATTTTGCCCATAAGCATGGGTTTGATAGCAGTCAAAATATTGGTACTCAGTTGGCGCTCTGTGACTCTCATCTTTCGAGCTTTAACATATGCTCATTGGTCTCACATAAATCATATCATAAATGAATAAATTTATAATTTGAATAAATAACAAATAAATGATATAAATAAGAATGGCATAAATCTTTTTTGAAAACGGCATATATCTCATGTCAGCCTCTGATCTAGAAACAATTTTCGAGGACATAGCAGGTATAATGAATTACAGATGTCTTTCAATGATAAAACCTACTTACCATGGGCGCAATTTCTTTATGTGTTTCAAATCGCCTGAAAAACAAAGCCAGATCGAAATCTTCAAATTGCAGCCATCAAATGTTGCCAATAAACAAAGTAATTTTATAAGCAACAATTCAAACAAACTGACAAAAAATCATGGCTCTTAATTTTAGGTTTTATCAAAATACAGTGAAGATTTCCTATGCAAGTCTTGCTCTAAAAGTTTCTTGGGAAACGATGCATTTTGGTAAATAAAAGTTCCGAAATCATTTTCTGTGATTAATCAACCAACCAATCAACCATTACAGCTAATCACTTCAACAAAAACAAATTTTTGAATTCTAACTGTTTCCATTTCACGAAGGGAAAAATAAACTTTAAAAAAACCGAGCAAGTTTTTCAGCCGCACCAATAGATATGTGAGCCTGTAAATGCTGTGAGGTTGTGAGGTTGATTTTCGCAAAAACTATAAAAAATGGATTTAAACTAATACCTTTTCGGGTAAAATAATCGCGCGAGTATTTTCCGGATAAGGATATGTGCTTTGGCAGGCGCCCTAGCAGCTCCATTATCAGAGCAATATGATCTGAAAAAAAGTTAAAAAATGATTAGATAAATTGTAAAACAGATGATAATCAATTGAACGATCAAGCAATCAGAAAATTGAGAGAGCAAACACTCAGACGATGAAAGGTTGAATCAGATACTCATAAATGCAATCGTTCGACAAGCAAACAAAGAAACAATCAAGCGAGCAAATTTTAGATTAAGAATTGCGCAATCAGATTATCACAAAATAGAAGAATTAAATAGTCAGTAGATCAAGCGAAAAAATAATCATACCAACAAACAATTAGATGATCATAAAATGGAAAGGAGAGAGAGATAATTAAGCAGCGTTATGCCTTGCATTGAAGTTAAGCTGTATTTGAAAATTGAATGAAAATTTCAAATCTCTTTCAAAGGTCCCGCTGGCAGTTATGCTGGTTATACATCACTATGTGAAAAATTCTGGTCAACTAGAATTCGTATTCAAAAATTTAGCATACCTTCATCCCTTGAATAGTCTTCGCCGGAATGAGGTTCGAAAAGAAAGTCACCAGTTGCAAGTTCAAAAGCCTGGCAAAATAAGCATTTTGATAAAAAGTCTTAAACATGATACCAAATGATATATAGGTGACCTGACCACTCATTAAAAATCACCTGTTAAAAGCATTACATTGAGGAAAGACTGCAAATTCCTATTTTGATGGGGACGCTCCAATAATCACTATACGTATCTCGTTGTTTATTATAAAACAATATTCAAAGCTAAGGGATTGTTGTTCATAGTCTTAAAAAAACGCCGGGTTGGATTCAATAACATGTCATTATTTTTGAAGGAAATTTTATAGGGCACAAGGAAATTTTAGTAACTTATAATATAGGTTTTCTTGACAACAACTAGGCGCAATTGAAGTATTTTATTTACTATAAAATTTAGGTCTATTGTTATCAAATTCTTCTAGTGATTTCATTAGATCTGGTAATTTTCTATTGCATAAAAAGTGTTACATTTCGAAGGCCTACCATGCAAGCAGTGCTCCAAATATCTGCAGGGGGTCCATACCCTGAGCCAATTAAAACCTCTATGCTTCTATACTGCCGGGTCTGAATTTCTTCAGTGAAATGGTGATGCTGGAAAGATTGACAAAGTGCACTCAAAATCATTGTCTTTAAGCAGTTACTCAAAATCACTGTCTTTGAGCAGTTACTCAAAATCACTGTCTTTCACTCAAAATTCACTCAAAAAACGTGAGTGATATCTAGCATTTGGGCTGATCTGAATATCCCCCCTTATTATGGTATCAGATTCTGAAAACAGTCAACAAATCACATCTGATTCACGATGCATTTTCCATTAGCAAATGAATGGTGTTGTTTTAAACTATATTCTGACTGTAAAATAAGCATCACCCTTTAAAAAAATCACGTTTATCAAGTTTCCTTTCTCTACCAAGCACGGGGTATAGAATGGGCAGCTATCCTTGGCGTGTATGTGAAAAATTGGTTCGAAGACTAAGCCTTGGAGACTTTTCCTTGCACAACAAAATTTATCACACTTCCCCGACTTAACCAGGTTTTCCGCATTTTCAAAAACCAGCCGATTTCAAGTTTTTTTCAAACCCTGCCTATTGCAACATGAGTAGTAAAAATCGTCTACTCTTTTAAAATTGTCTACAGATTGAAGGAGACATTGTTCATACTTACAATCCAACAAGCATTGCCCAGATCAGCAATCTTAACTTTAATATTCTCATTTAGAGTTCCTGACACCTCACAAGCGTATTTTGGACCTAGAATGGGTTTACATAATTTGTTGTGGATAAATGCTTGGGAATATTCAAAGGCATCTTTACATAATTTCATGTTATGATAATAATCGCAAGAAACTGCAAAATAGATATGTCCAGTGTTCATTGACGGCTGTTCTCTTCACTATTCGAAGGAACAACGTTCAAAGAAAATCTTGATTTGCAACAATCCAGCATATATGTCGAGATGTGCAACATTTCGAAGCATATTAATGACAAAAGGATAAGAAAGATTCTAAATGATCAAAATTCATATCCTTTAAATTCAAACTAATAATATAAATATTTATTGTTGACACAAACTGCTCAATAAAATTTCCCTGAAGTAAAGGTCATATATACGAAACGAACTCCAAGAACAAGGAAAAATCATTGGATCGATTCTTGACAAAAGGAAACAAATTTCAGAACAAAAAAGTAGAATTTCTTGTTAATCTTTTGGTACACCCTGACAAAATTTTATTGAAATTTTAAACTCTCAAGCTCTATACGGCTTAAAATGTGGAGATGAACTGATTGCACTTCCGTGACTTTTCTTTTGGTGACAACAAGATTTTGAGGACATAAAACGAAAGTTACTATATAATTAAACAAAAATATTATATTTGACGAAAACATAAACAAAATTTGGTCTCGTCAATCTTGTGGTTACAATGGATCAGAAAAGAACCAAGTCCCTTTAAAATTTGCATCTCTAAACAAAATGTTTTTGCGTGACTATAATCTGCTCAGAAAAATCAGTCAAATATCAAATACCTTTTTCTGTCGTTTCCATCTCATCATCGTCATCCAGTTTTAGAGTATCAGCAATTTGTTTCTCGACATCTCCATTAAAACCTGTTAAAAGTGCTAACTTTTAAATATGGCTTTGAAAAAAGCAAAAATTTTGGGTCATACTTAAGCTTTTCGTCTGAGACCCTTCAGAGTATATATCGTCAGAACATGGATCGAAAACTCTACGCTAGGAAATATATATACCCAGTTATGGATCGAAATAGGCCAATTAGAAAACGCGAGCACATGACTGTTGAGGTGATCCATGACTGTTACCAATGGAGCCCTAAGGTGAAAACAAAGTCCTTCTGCCTACGCGGTTTTTTGTGTGTTTATGTAGATAGATGTGCTCTACTTTTTTCAATGCTATTCTTATGTTTTGTACCACCAAAAGTTGTTAACTCATTAAAAGACCAGTTTCTTTAGCATTTCACCAATAAATACTTGGAGAGCTCCTTTAATAACCGAGATTTTTAACACTTAAAATATTAGGCCGATCTCGTTTGAATTTAAGCAACATGACCATAAAGCAAATTGCAAGCAACCATACTTTGATGTTTTGAGAAATCTCATGAATATTAAAAAACTGACTTCGTGGCAGTTTTTCCAAACACGAGAACAAGCTATTTTAATTCTCACACAGAACGATGTGCCAACCTGGGAAAGAGGGGATCCCAACGGATGTTAGGTAGCAAATACATAGACAAATGAAAAATATGTTAAGTACGTCAACATACTATTGTAAACATGATCCAATATTTCGTTGTTTTGTTCGTCACTAGAAGGCTTATCTTTGTCTTCACATCTATCTTTCTTGTCCTTGTTGACTTCATTCTCTTTTTCAAAACTTTTCATGGTGACATCTTCATTACAAGATAAATTTCCGCAACCCTTTTCATTCTTATTTACTCCTTGCCTTTGATTTTGAAAATTGATATCGTAGCCTTCATCCATCGATTTACCAGAACCTTTACTTTTTGAAATTTCTTCATTCTCTTTTTCCTCAAGAGGCTCTTCATTTGTTTCGTCTTTCTCAGTCGTATTCGAGTTTGTGCCATTATTGTGCTTTTCAAGCTGTTTTTTAATTTTCTTTTTTAATTTCTTTTTTCTATTTCTCGACATTTTTCCATTGGCCATTTGCTGCTGAAAGAAAAAATCCTAAAAATATTAACATTATCAACTTCAAATTATCAACTTTTTAATGGAGAATACATAAAAATTAGGCAAATAATTTAATATAGAGAGAAATTGGAGCTTGATATCCGAGTCAAGTCAATAGCATCAATCATATAGGGTTAGCGAAAAATAACATATTTTGAAGTTACAAAAAATTAGCAGTGGTTAGCGAAGATAAAAAAGTCCGAAGAAAAATACAGTAAAAAAAGACAACAATGTCGTTTCCCCTTGGAGACCAAAGAGCACCAATAGAATGGCAAAGACCCTGAAATTTAGATGATGAGCTTCAAAAAAAAGTTTTACTGAACTGAAAAGCCTGCTTTCCGTTTGAACGATATCAGTCATTCTCAACAACACTTCTGCCTCGGCCTAGAGGTTTCTTGAATGCCTCTTTAAAATGCCTCAAAGCATTGACATGGTTAGATTAAATGAATACCTGACAAAAGGTATTATAATAAGACGAGAGGCAGATCCTTATGAATCTCCAGCAAAGGAAACTTCGAAGAAATAAATCCACTTTAATTCAAATTCTGTTAAAGGCTTATGATGATCAGAGCATGCCCTATTTGAATTTAGGCATTCTTTTGTAACCATTAAAACAGACTGTATCTAATCTTTTAAAAAACCATGCATACCTTTTCGGCGACATGAACTGGCGCGGTTCCACCTAAATAAAGAAAAATGGCTGTTAGAAATATGGTTTAATTTTAAAGAGTATATGCTGAATGTAAGAACGCCATTTGGAAGCTTTAAAAATAGTATTTTACCTGAATATCCTAAACGTCATGCTAAATTAAAGAAAAACAGGATTCATTTTTGTGCTTGATCTAAGATGAACACACGGCACGGCAGATAAATAAGTCGACCAAAAAACCAACACTATCTAGCAAACAGGGCCTAAAATTGAGCTAGCATTTGTGTCTTATAAGGAGACCGAAGATCGTGATAGAAATTTTTTTCTAAAATCCACACAGACAAACTCTGGTTCAAGAGCATTTTATAAGAAAAGACATCTCCTATATACGTTCTAATAGATCAATGGCAGCTCGCGCCAGTACAAAGGAATTGGCTTTTCTTAAAATTTATATAGGCCATTATGGTTTCCATATGCCAATTCCATACTTGTGTCCATTATGGTTTCCAGCAATGACTCGGTTATTCTAATTGAAAAACTGGCAGATATTCCGAATTGAAAAACTCCATTCTTAAGAAATTCACATTTCCTGCTCCATTTTCAACATCGGGGTATAAAACAAGTTTTTCTGCAAGATTTTACAACAGCAACAACAGCAAACACATCTTACCTAATGACCTTGAAACCTTCCCAGCAGCAGAGGCAGAGGCAGCTTCTGAAGCCAACTTCTGAATATCATCTTGGGTAATGCAAACCAGTATATTTTCAGGCTTTACGTCAGTGTGAATGATTTTGCATTTTGTGTGTAGATAGTTAAGCCCTTCCAAAGTCTGCGAATAATTGAGAAGATTAAAAAGAGGGATAGTTTCGAACACCAAATTCAAAGTGGAACTTTGATAGTTATAAGTGAAAAGCTGATGAACAAGATTTTATGAAGAAGTTTTAACTATGATGGTTGCTCAGGAGACTGGAACAAAATAATCGAATTAGGCTTATGTGCAATTTGCAAATCACGTTGAGTGGTTTATTGAAAGATTCCATGTTTAAGCGTCTGCCCTTTTCTAGAGGTTGGGGGTTTACTTTCGAAACATGGAACATAAGACTGTGGCATGGTTAGCGACACTTAATAAAACCTGGCCAACGATATAGTAGCGAGCCTATGCATCAAAATATCAAAAAATCGAAGGAGGTTCTTGATATTGTGGTGGCGCACGGTAGATAGCGACAGAAAACGTGTTACGTTTTACCATATAATTATCAATTCGATACATCACGAGTTTCGGATGCACGAATCGCCTGTTTGCCATCATACGCCTTAAACGGGCCAGGCAAGAAAAGTGAAGTAAAGTAAAGTGAAGTAAAGTAAAGGAAAATAAATTAAAGTAAAGTAAAGTAAAGTAAAGTAAAGTTAATTAAATTAAAGTAAAGTTAGATAAAGTAAGAGTAACTTGAAAAACTTGAAAAAAAAAGGAAAAGGAAGGAACAAAGAAAGATAAAAAGTGTAGTTAAAAAGATGAAACAAATAAAGAAATTTCGATGAGAAAAGAAGAGGTATTAAGAGAAATGGGCATTAGTGGAACGAGAATGCATGAAAGACTACCTACAGCTGTAGCATGCATGAGGTACTCGGTTGAGTTTGTGTTTGAGTCATTTACAATGGTTTATGAAAAGCACTTTGATTGTAGAAGACATGAAAGAAGAAGGAATGTGCTGAATAGATTAATACGACTGGAAATGAGCCAAAAACTTCAAACTGCGACGTTGCTGTACAACGAGTAATGTATTGATATCGGATGTCTAAGACTCTAAACACACTAGAAGGGCGTTAAAATGTCGTGTTTAAAGTAGTTGACAGTAAAACTCTGAGCAACCCAGACTTCTATCTAGAGAATAGACTGCTTGCGTGAACTGTTTTTTGAAACTTCTGAAGCAATGGAAAATTTTGATAGGCTGCGAAAATTTTCAGCAACAAAAGAAAACTAGAAAATAGAAGAAAATTTTGATAAAATTTTGATAATTTGAATTTGGCTAGGAAATTGCTCTGGGTTAATGGGTAAATCGGGAGAAAATATAGCAAATGATAAGCGGGCTGACGATTGTAATTTTGCCTTCTGAAAATCTTCTGTACAGCTTAAAGGCATTTCGCTGGCCATTTAAATTCCCATTGGTTAGACTATACAATAGACATATTATTACGGAGCCAATTGGCTAATCTTTAATGTTAAAAGAAGAAACTTAGAGAAGCTGTGAACACTATTAATTGGCTGACATAAACAGGTCAAAGCTGCCTTAGAAAAGCAGCATGTTTCAACAACTGGTAAAAGCAATATTAAGAAGAAGTTGAGTTTAAAATTGCTTCGTCAAAGGTAACCATTTTTTCACAACTAATGTGAGATAAAAACCAAATATTAAATACCTGCTTTATGATTGTTTTCACAAGAGGCAAGGGAATCCCTTTGTAGTTCGATTTTATAATCATGCGAAGAAGATTATGGCCTAGCACCTCAAAAACCATACAAATATCTGGATAAGTAAAGGATTTCACAAACACAATCAGTTGAAAATATTACTTTAGAACAAGTTGAAAGTAATATCTGCTTTGAAGACGAATGCAGCTCATATTACAGTGACTGCCATACAGTTGTACAAAACAATATATTTGATTAGTAATATATTTCGATCTAACAATGTTAAAAACATAACTGTTATTGAAGAACAGAAAATATCACTGCAAGATACAAGCAATCGATATCACAAATTCATCGAAGCTGTGACGAAAGTATGCACTTTTTACATGCCATACACCGCGTTCTTTTACACACGATGGGTGATTTCTACTTGTTTTGTACAGAAGTGCGCATCCAGGCATCTTTAATGATAAAAAAATTCATCCAGTTGAGAATTTTACTCAACCAAATAAACTTCCAGAATTACACATAAACCTTTTCAATATTTCCGATCCTAGTGCAAAAATCATTATAAAATATAGAAACCCAGGGACCTTAAGGGAAATATAGACACCCCTCCTTGGCCCTTTGGTCTTAAACAGAAAACCATACTGGTCGCATACCATACTGGTCACATACCATACTGGTCGCACACCATACTGGTCGCATACCATACTGGTTTGCCTCCAATTGAAAGTGCTATGCAATAGCCCAAATAAGTGACGTAAATTTAACTTCTCATATCATTTCTGGACGTGCAAGAAAAAAGGATACGAGTTCCGTGAATTCCAGAAATCTTGAAATTGTCTAAAAGTTGGACCACATGCGGGTATCCTGGATCCTTTGGGTCAGCTGTATGAACCTGAAATCAAACAGATAGTCATTTTACAACATGCTAACCTACTTCTTAGTTCCATAAGAAAAGTTTCACAGCAGCAAGAGCTTACAAAAATCTCACCTGTGCGCTAAAAACGCAGAAAAGGTGGGAAATGCAAGAACTGCCTCGATAAGCAGGTTTCAAGGCGATATACAGGCATAGATTTCCATGGGATTACAGACATAGATTTCCATGGGATTACAGGCATAGATTTCCATGGGATTACAGGCATAGATTTCCATGGGATTACAGGCATAGATTTCCATGGGATTACAGGCATAGATTTCCATGGGATTACAGGCATAGATTTCCATGGGATTACAGGCATAGATTTCCATGGGATTACAGGCATAGATTTCCATGGGATTACAGGCATAGATTTCCATGGGATTACAGGCATAGATTTCCATGGGATTACAGGCATAGATTTCCATGGGATTACAGGCATAGATTTCCATGGGATTACAGGCATAGATTTCCATGGGATTACAGGCAAAGATTTCCATGGGATTACAGGTATAGTTTTCCATGGGATTACAGGCATAGATTTTTAGAGATATCAGATTATATACTAATCCACAGAAATATGTTACTTAAACAAAAACTTTTCACGTTTTGTATTTTTTATACTGCAAGTTTTCACAGTCTTTAAATATGTGGACAATTTTTTGGCGGTAGAGAACTTGAGAATGGCTTTGAAAAAAGCAATCAAAAAGCAATCGTTTCATATGCTACTGAAAGCTTTTTCGTCAGATAATAAAACGTCAGAATAAGGGTCAGAATGAACACGATGAAAAATATATACCCAGTTGTGGATCGAAATAGGCCAATCAGAAAAACGCAAGCACAAGACCGGTTTATTTGACCAATCAGTGTCGCGTGCCTAAAGAAAATTTACCACTGGAGTCCAAGAGAGAAAACGAACTCCTTCTGTCTATACAATGGCGGCTTTTTCGTTTGTATGTTGATCGATTCCAAAACTGCTAGATGGAAAGACCGTGCTCTGCCAATCATCCGAAATATGTCGTCATTATAGAGTTTAGCACAGTCTTGGTTGTCTAAAAGATGTTGACCGATAGCAGAATCACTTGTCTTAACAGTGTTTCTAGATCTACAAGATCGAGGAGGCTGTTCTCTTTGAGGAACAGTCTTGTTTCCTATGTTGGAAGGAACATGTTGTTTTATCCTATAACCTGATGTCTTCAGCTGACCAGAAGTTTGGTCCGCAAAAGTAACCAGTTTGTCTTAAAATGCCATCCATGGATTGGTCACAATTCCTTGCGATTTGAAAGTCAGGGGAAAAGTTATCGAAAATTTCATCAACTGTCGGCAGCTCAAAGAATGCAGCTTTTCTGTATGCAAGAAATTTTCCCACCCAAAAACTGTGTATTTTCATTCTTGATCTTTTCGACCCTAATTCTGACGTGTTATACTCTAACTTTGTAAAATGTTTACTTTCAAAATCATTTCTAATTATTTGAATAGTTGGTAAACAAAAATAGAGGAAACTGGGTAGTAAACGAGAAACACGCAACTAGAAGTATTATATTACACATACGAACTATATGTACTCATTCTTTGTACATAAAAAGTACTCTGGGGGTTAAAGCACTAAAAAGTTCAATATTATCCAATGATTCTATCTTACTGTACTTTAAGGGACCTGCTTGAAATGTAAAAGGGAAGGTTTTTTCTGGGCTCAAGTGTCATAGGGATCCTGAGACAGTATGAAACAGCATTCTGGTGTTAGCATTATGAAACAGAATTTGTTATAAATTTGCGTCATACCGTTTGCAAAAGTTTCATTTCATCAACGGCTGTTTCAGTATAATGGGAAGCACTTTTGACAATCTTCAGAGCGACGAAACTTTTCATCCTTCAAGAAAACAAGAATTACATCTGTCAATGTAAAAAAAGCAAACGGTAAATATAGCGTGATGTCTGCCATGTAGCGTAGTGAATACCAGCGTGTCATCTTGCTGCAGTAGGTAGAGGTGTACTGGTTCGAGCTTACCATGGACAAAATTAACAAAGACAAAACAGAAATAAGGTTACGGAGACAAAGATTTGGATGCCTTGAAACAAATCATACTACACAATAAAGAAAAGAAAACGTTTGAAATTCCTCCTTATTAAGAAATGGCCGTTCATTGCAAATAAAGAGAAACAACAAATATTATATCAATGTTATAACTTTTAAGGGTTGGAATTGTACAGCATTTTCTCTTTTAAGCATCCATTTGTTTGAAAAGTGAAATTCAAGATGCGAAGATTGGAATATAAAAATAATCACTAAATGATAGCTATTTGAAAACCTCTATATTTAAAGAAAAATGTTCGAATGAGAGATATTTTGTTGTTTTAACAGTTTACTGATTTCTGCTTCTACATTCAATCATTTTTATCGTAAAAAGATTGTAAAGTAGAGAATAATCTTAAAGCTTTAATTTCAAGATTCTGATTGTAAGTAGCTCCTTCTTAAAGTTTAGGTTTTTCTAATATTGTACATGTTTATAACAGCACCTTTGTTGCTGAAAAAGCAACCCTGTATAAATAATTATATTATTATTATTATTGCTATTGTTATCTGTATAATTCTGTAGTTGTTAAGACATTTCGTTTATTGAAACTCTCATACGTTCTAGAAGCATGTGAAAGTTGACAGTGTGTTCATTAATTCAAATTAGATGTTATTTCATCAAAGCGATGCATTTTCAAACAAGCTTTTATCATCCTATACATTAGGCCATGTAGCTTCTCAAATATTTAAATCAGAAGCACACGCTCTTCAGATTTTCGCAATCGGGAGCGTGTGAAAATACGACACGAATTCGTACGCGATTACGCAATATAAACGGTTGAGAGCCATAAAAGATGCAAACACCACTCCTTCCAAGCAGCAATTTTGCTGAATAAAATTTAATCGCAGTTATGCCCTGTTTTGAATCAAGCTCATTTTATGTCTAAAACCCGCATAGGTATTTGAAAAAAACCTTCAAATGCTAAAGTAGAAACACTGTTAGCTTTCACAAGTGCATATTTTCAACAATTCATTTGCGAAATTTCCGGGATTCGTGATCAACTTTATACCCTTGGACGAAGGGCGAAGAGCGAATTTTTAGAATTGCTGCACAGTTTAATGTTGAGCATAAATGTGGCCGTAAAGAAAAGAAACTAACAAAACTATTTTTGTGATGCAAAACTATTACATTGCAATATTTATGATGCAAAGTATTTTGTTGCTATTTTAACTTTTTCAGGTGGTTTAGGCCTAACGAACTAAAGAATTTTGTGACTGAAGATTCAGCCGATTAGCAGCTGCAAGGGGGTGTGAATTCCCCTTCACCCCCTATCAGGTACCCCTGCTGTAAAGCTGACTTACTTTAGATCCCAGCTTAACCAGACGGTAGAAAAATGTCCCCAACCGAGCTTCCTTATCACGTGATATCTGTCGTTAAAGAGGTCACCTATCTTCACAACATGGTAACCACCTGAAATAAAGTCCAAACAAGGTTAAAAAGAGCAACGGCAAAAAATGTAAGTACGGCAAAGGCATTACAAAGCGATGAACTAAAAGATAGAAAAATTACAGAAAATGTTATATTATATAAAGAAATAAAGCAGACAAATTTCAATAAAGTTTCTGTGGAGTTTAAAACTAGCTGAAGAAAGTGTTTTAAAGTTAAAAGACAGAAATCAGAGGATGAATTTTCTAATCTGAAGAATACAGGATATCAAGAGATGGATACATCTCAAATCTAAAAACCTAAATCAGATTCAGAGGTAAATCAGAATCATTGTAAGAGGCCAAAAAGAAGTTAGAAAACGTAGTTAAGTGTGTATGTGCGCTGCAGAAGAGGAGCTTGGAAAGGAAGAGAATAGAGTCAAAGTCAAAGTTTATTAGTAAAAATCTGTCTAAGAGCACACAGAAAAATCTGGCTAGGCATAGAAGCAAATAAAGATAAGATACTAAGACAGAAATTTTATAACTAGCACCAAAAAGAGGGCAAGTGACTCAAGCCGCCTGTCAATCAAATAAGTGCCAACCAATAAACGTATGAGAGAAATCACGCTCATTGATTGGTGATTCATTGCTTGCAACAGAGCATAGAGATAAACCTGGTAACGATATTCCGTCAAAACGTGATCACCTTGTCACAATTAAAATTTCAAGATAATAATTCTATATCGACAAATTTTAGCTTTTTGGCAGCTGAAATTTGTGTGACTGAGCATAGAGCAAAAAGGTTTTTGCGCCTGCAAGCTGTGACCAAAGTGCGACGCGCAGGATTTTTGCCGCCAATCCATTATGCGACACTTTGATTGCGATCCAGTCTTCCTAGGAGGTGCAGCGTGCAAAAGGTTGGGTTCACCGCAAACAGCTGACATTTTATTTGAAATATATGTCGTGAGTAAACCTCAAAGAACGTAAGTTTTATAGAGCAATAATCCAATATTTGAATTCAACATATCTAAGAAATGGCACGATACCGCATGTTGATTTGTTAGTGATTGATCTTCACGGCACAAAAGAAAAATGAAATTGGTTGGTATAGGCGGAAAAGTTCGTACACTTTCATAGATTTACGGCAAAAAAAATTTAAGATGGGTGCAATTAACTGATAAGTTAAAACAACAATATATTTTAGGATATGCAGTAAATTCATGAAACCTTGCACTAAAACAGATTGACAACGAATTTAAGTAGCTGATCCTTCTCAATTTTGAAACAACTTCGGCACTTTTTGTACAAGAAAAGAAAACTGAACAAAACGGGAAGCAATTGGGAAGCGATGCCTCACATTTTAATAAACGATTTTGGAAAATGTTCACGATGCCTCATCCTGAATTGTTTTATATTTGTTGAAAAAAATTTAAACCTTTTTGCTAAATATTACCTTCATTGTCGGAAAATTCTCAAACACTTTGAAATTTACCTTTATAAAGTTCGTATCTCCTTCTCTGTTTAAAAAGCCTAGGCCTATGATTCTTCAGTTCCACAGTCAAACTTTAGAAAAACAAGGCAAAAATTAGTGCTTTTTAGGCCTTAATTCAATGCCATAAATGTGCCCTAATTAGATGATTTATCTATTGGATTCCATAAAATGGAAGTAGAAGAAAGGTTAAAATTCAAGCTTGGTTTTCTCATATCTTTTTATATCATTCTTATTGGGACGGATCGATAAATTTTCCGCAGGAACGCTAATCACGTCAATATACGCGCGAAAAAAAAACATTTTCGCTCCATGTTATGCGGCTGTCGAAACTGACAAACAGCAAGCGGTTATCGGTCTTGGGTAATGACGCGCGTAAAAACATTTTCGCTCCATGTTATGCGGCTGTCGAAACTGACAAACAGCAAGGGGTCATCGGTCTTGGGTAATAACGCGGAAAAAAAAACATTTTCGCTCCATGTTATGCGGCTGTCGAAACTGACAAACAGCAAGGGGTCATCGGTCTTGCGTAATGGGGATGAAGTAAGACATTATACCTTTGCAATAATCTGATGGATCTTCCTGTTCTTCTTCCGATTCTTCGTAATCATCTTCAGACAAATCTGAAGATTCATATCTGTAGTCTTCATCTCCACCATCTTCGGTCATCTGCGAGATACTGAAAAGAGAAGAAAATACTTTAGCACCCGTGCTAATAATTAAGTAAAATACCGGTTTTATCTTAATACGAGAACAACGGAGGGTAAAACCTGTTGCAAACTCAACCATGTAAACGGCAGGCCACAAGATGTCAAGATTTACGAGTTTATGTCCGGGCGATTTTCAGATCATCCGCACTTGCCGTGATATTTTCTTTAACAGAGATATCAAGGTCTACTGTTTTAAGTAAAACAAAGGTACCTGGTACTGTACTCCATTATCGTTTGTCAATAAAGCACTAACTCTTGGGCAAAAAGGACTCATCAATCAGACTGCGATACTGTTTCTTAAATAACTGATTGATGTAAGGATTTTCGTGTGTAGGAGTGGGAGGAAAACATGACCAAAATTCACACCCTCCAGCAAAGGCAGAGACCGCACCTTTAAAAAGTGATTAAAATCGACACAGGCTAATCCCTACTACTTTATCCAAAAGATCAGCACCAAAAAGGAACACTTCAACTTTACATAAAAATCCGATATTCAAATACGATGTCATGAAAAATATATTTTTTGGATTTGTGAACCTGGACCACATAACATATGTATAACGAAGCGTAATTATTATTGATTCATAGACCCTCGATTGTGCACGACTAATACATTCTAGATGTAATAGGCTTGGTTGATTAGCCTACGATGAACCGCACCAAAGAAAGTATCGACCGTCTTCGAAAAAGCGAAAGAAAAAGTCCTGACAGGGATTAAATATTAGTAAAGCCGAACTAGTTAATGGTCTGGAGAAGGATACGGTGGCTCGTATGCTCGAAAAATTAAATATCGACAAATTTTGCGGTACAGAAGACCTAGAGCAGGCGGAGCTTTGTAGAGTTAATAGGGGTAGCCTCAAATGTAGATGAAACCAAATGTTGTTTTCCTCAAGCGTCCTGTCTGTCGTCTCTTCTTTTCCTAATACACATGGATATTCCGGTGGCCTTTTCTTTCAAAAACAGCGAAGTAACGATGTACGCAGATGGTATCAGTATTTCACATTTTACCAAGGAATAATATCCCTTATTGTAGTGAAAACAGAGTCAATGTTTATATGCTCTAGGGCTAATAATCACAAAATGTCAGACAAATCAGTCCTGACCCTATAAATCCACATCGGTAACTCTCATATTGAAGTTGTAGGTAATGCTAAATATTTGGGAATAGAACTCGGTAGACATTTTGTCCCATACGCATATTAAGGCTATATGTTTAAAGATCACGCATTTAAGGCTACCTAAAATATGCCAAAAACTGCTTCCATAAAAATATACTCATTCAGATAAATAAAGGTAATGTCCCACATCCGGCATAATTACTCTGTTTAAGGGTTAGATGCAGAGATTCTAGCAGGATAAACCTCCTTAAGGCAAGAAAATCGTGGTTCGAGGAAAGTTACCAACAGCAGTTATGATACGCCAACAGCAAATTATTTGATAAAAGAGCTCCAATGGCTGACAGTCTTTGATCAAGCAAGAGATGTCAATCATTGTTTCCAAATGAATAAGCGGCCTCGCGGAGACCATGGGAAAAGGTAAATTTTTTACATTCTAAAACTTACTTGCTCCACTAATAAAAACCAGCAGTGTTAAAAAGGCTTATTCATTTTTGGGACCGTTCATCTACGCCGGATATTTCCGGCGAAAGCTACATGGATTCCACACTGGGCTTCAAGTTTTCGTTTTTGGGACCAAAAAATTTGAATTAATTAGAAAATGAGGTCATACTAGCCTCCTTTTTGGATACTTAAGAATGTAGAAAAGTCATAAATTTTCAATTCTATTTAATCAAAAATGTAAATTTTTTCTGTTTTCCTTTCGATTTACTTGTAAAAGGTAAGCAAGGTTTTACCACGGCCCCCAGAGACAGCTTTTTTGGCTGATAGAGCTACCAAGTATAAGCATTTTGAAAAGAAATTCAAAAGGAAAACAGCTTTAAACATCATAACGAAGTACTTCCAAATATGCAAAGTATATTTTTACAAATTCGCTGATGTATGCCCAGATGAGCAAAGGCTCTATCTCAATCAATTCACTGTCATTTGGTTTTAAAATCTACGAGCCTGACCCAGAAAACAGTAATCCATTACCAAAACCCATTTAATTTGCATATCTCAATCGATTTGCAGCAAATTTAACTGATCTCAAACTGATTTGGCATCTTTAGTGGTTTTCCATGATGCACTTTTAAATTATGCAGTGTCTTGTAGGAATTTTTATGACGTCACATTACAGAACTATTGCGCAGGTTATCTCAACGTCTGCTAAGACGAACTTCCAGACAGAATACGAAAATTTGAAGCTTCTTCATTTTATTCTTCTCTTTCTAAGCACAGAAGAACAAAAGCGACACAATGAAGCTTTTTCATAACTTCTGATTAACTTCATGATGACTTTCTCACATCATAGATAACAATATAACTTCAAGAGCGCTGTTAATGTTGTTGATTTTACTTAAAATCAGCGAATATAACTACAGGAAAATTCGTTCTAAAGACATCAATTCAAATCAAATTATCCAGCACTTTGGATTCGGTCCGCTTGCTAGTATGTGTTGCTTCTCACGCTTATACCTGCTAGGGAAAGATAGCTCTTAATCTATATAAAAATATTCTATCGGAAAAAAAAGCTATGCAGAGGAAACGCACTTCGGACACCAAGAATATTATCTATTTATTATTACGGATGCATAAAATTTGGAAATTTGAATATTCAGTTTTCGATCGCGAAATCAAAAATTGCGGTTGTAAATAGCAACTTTATTTATATGAACAACCAAATCCTTTCAACCATAAACAGGCACTTTATTACATGATATTAATATTTCATACAATGCTAAACAACAAACTTTATTGATGCCAGAAGATAAAGGTCTACGGTAGTGACGCAGGAGGCTGGATAGATAGAGAGCAAATCTATCACTTAATAGTCTATAGAGTCTATCCAAAAAACACACAGGAATCGATTGCTAAAAAGCTGCCATGCGAGTGTCGTAAATTAGATTTAAGCATTCATACAACAAGGTTTAGAAGTAAAAAGTGAACGCTTTGTGAATAATGAAGGGTGCTTGTGATAGCAAAACGAAAGATTGCATAAAACAGCAAAATCAGTAAGATACTTATCATGTATAATTTCCATCATACATTACGAGTAGATCAACATAACCTGACTATGATATAACCAACAAAGAGTGTTATTTATGTTAAAAACAAAGTCAACAAATCGCATATATACGAACCACTGCACTATGCCCATGATAAAGCGATCGAGACGATAAAACAAGTTGCAACTGTTGTTCTTTTCGCTTCAAAATGATCATTTACCTTCATGAGAAGTCTAAATTGTACAGCTGCCCTTTTCAGGGGGGATCACTCCAAGCAAAGGAGCGTTCATTCCTCTAGTAATGAAACGGTAGCAGGTCCGTATCTTTTTCATTAGCTGAACGATTCATTGAGATTTGTTGATTTACCATTAAAAATCCCAGCAAAATATTAGATTTTCAAGAGAACGCCAAATGTAACGCTCATGGAAATGAAAAGGCAGCGGTTGCAAAAACTCAAGTGAAATGGGTTCTCTGGATTTCCCCAGAAAAGCCATATAAGATTTTAGGAAATGATAACATTATCTAAATACATGGGACTATGAAAGGTGCAACTGAGAACAAAAATTTCTGACCTATTTATTTCTGAAAATAAATATTCTGATGCACTATTTTTTTTAATCGTTTTGAGCCTGAACATTTTTTTAAAGTATTCATATTTTTTCAAATCTGATATGGTTTCAGGGGAAAATACGCTTTTGAATAAAAACCAGGCTATTTGAAAAACGTGATATGTCAGTTCTACGATTCCCTGTTAAGCCGAAAACCCACTCCGGAAACTGATCCGCGATCGGATCAGATTTTGTGTTGCGCACGCGCTTTGGATGCAAAAATGGTCACATGACTGATCCGTGACGGATCGAAAGGGATCGAAAAAAAAGTTGAAATCGTTTCAACCTTTTCTTGAACCGTTCCGGTACAGTGGTTTTCTTCTGATCAATATCGAATTATAACTTTTCAAACAATAGAGCACTTGCGTCATGAATTCCAATCTGAAACGATCCGCGGAACGAACGGAACTGATCAGAAAAACACGATCTGATCCGATCCGCGGATCGTTTTCCAGAGTGGGTTTTCGGCTTTATGAACTTCACAAAACCGGCAACTGCCGAAAAATGAGACAGAAATATGCTAGCTGAGGCCGAGTAACATGCTCACAATATTTGTAAAAATTCCAAGATTCTGATCTTGAATAATCTTATAAACAATATTCTAATATAAATCGTGTAAAAACTTTAGATTTCAAAAAATAATTAAAGAGTTTGACGAATGTTGAGCGAACTTGTGTACCCTTTTTTAGATCGAATAAATTCATTAATTCTTGGTATCTTTCCATTTGATAAAATGCTCTCACAGTTTCCATAAGTTGTCTCAACTTTGCTCTATTATGTTCGATTGCTTACTTGTCATAAATTACCTAAACATTAAGTCATCTAAATATTCATATTTGACAGAAATAATAACTGATATACGCAATTTTTTTATAGCAACCGTCTGTAAGAAACAGAGTCCTACGATGACCAAACTTTTAGAAACCATTGAACTTAGAAACTTTTAGACCTTTTTTTGCGGTAAATAAGGCTATTATTACGTGCTCCATTCAAAAGTGTTGGAATCAAATCACCCCCCTCTCCCCCACGGAGCAATGTTGGTTTACCATGAACCGGGTTGGGATTTTAGGAAGAACTTTCTTTGCGTTTCTTTCATGATATTTCTCTAAACTATCAACATTGTTCTAGGGGAAAGGGGGCGGCAGTAGTGTTTCTAAAAATTGGCTGTTTATTATTGATATTTAAAGAACTTTAAGAAACCTTTAGGACCAAAGTTCATTAGAGGAAATACGGTAATGATGTAAAGGCAAAAAAGAAA